CCATTTTATCAGTCTTGCCGCTTGCGGAGTACGCCCCGGCTATTGCTATATAGTGTTGTACTGCACACATGCTGTATATTGACGTTTATATTTGCAGCTCTCCTCCAACATGTTGCCGTAAACGTTATCTCGTTTTAATTGAGTTTCTCTCTGCTCTCTCTCTCTCTCTTTTTGAGCTTCAGCTGTCATACTGATCGACTGTGTTCGAGACTTCGTGAAACGTCGTTCATACTGCCGAGTGGTACTCCAACTGTTGTCCGTATACTATAGCAGAACCTGCAAAAATGGGAAAAAGATCAGTGATTCATGGGTAGCATATGTAGCGGACTTGCAATTTCCATTCCTTAAATAACTTTTTGCATGCATCATTCGAACGAGTAACCCAGCATGTACTCTGAAATTAGTTGAACACGTTTGGAATAATCGTCAAATTAGCGCGGAAAAGTGTACGGTACACAAAGTCGTGTTAAGAATAATAAAATAGAGTGAAACCATTAAACTGATCGAATTTTTAGCTCATTTTGCCTTTCTAGAACAAAGTTGATCGCGTGACTTTGACCATGTGGTCGAAATATGCGCGCAACAATTTTCTTTGATTCATTGTAAAATACTATCTAATACAGCTCGTAGATGAACCCACATATTTTTTGTATTTATAGATAAATGCATAACTTGTTTTCATAAATGAACAGTAAAAAACGTATAATTTACAGACGTGTACGTGTAGGGTATTTGATATACCGAATATGCAATAATATTATTACCGAATCCATTCTTTTACCTTATCACGAAACTCTAAATATCAACATGTTAACTAATTAAATGGAACAAACAAATATTATGTTACTTTGCTACGCTATTGATTTATTGTTCTTTTGTCATACCTTCATAATTAAATTATAGTTTTAATACAATGATTGGATTGAGTTTATTTTCGTTTCCCATTATAAATTATTTTAGGATACAAAGCTAGCCCAAAAACCAAATTTTTAATTCCGTTTTCTGAAATTGTAATGAGGATTTCTCCAAAAGGTTCTATGGTGTCCTATGTAGAATATCAAAATAGAATATCAAAGAAAACACGATTGAAAATTTAATTCTGATGGGCTGGATTCGCTATTTCCTTAATTGTTGATGAACTGGACGCATTTGAGAGAAAACTGTGCTAATAAAATCGAATAAATCGCCGAGTAAAGCCGCCCTCTCTCGGCGGCAGACCGAAAACGCTCCGTCGATGAAAGAGTGCAAAGCTCTGCGAGTACCTTTAGCAACCTATATTATGTTGCACGTATATCTATACACGTAAGCAGAAAGTTGAAAGAAGCGAAAGAATAAAAAAGGGCTGGAAACGCTGTACGAGTGCATCACGTATAAGATAGTGTATATAAGAGTGCAGTAGCTCGTAAATTGGCCGGACACACATATAGCCTTGCTGCTACTGCTGCTGCTACTTGCTCGATCTATCTTTTCAACGCTGCAGAATGGATAAAACGCGTTTTCAGTCTTATGGCTCTTTTCTCCCTCTTCCTCCTAGCTCTCACTCACTTTTTTATTCGGACAAGGTTTATAGAGCGCAGTTACGCTCTCCAAGCGTCTTGACGCGTTATAAAATTGGTCTTTTCTCGTAAATCATCATTAGGTTGGATCATCTTGCGAAGATGAATATTTGGACGTTGTTTTATCGATCGATTTACTCGTACAGCCGCATCCACCCTATTCATTTTGTTAGACTTGCCAAAATAAAATCGATTTTACTTTTTATTTTATTGATTCAAAACGTATATAAAAGCACGAAAACTGATACGGACAACTTGACGGTAGAGGCTTCCTTTTTTAATTTTTCCAAACAATTCATGATAGCGCAACAACCATGCGTGACGCTACCGGCCTTGCGTACATCCCGCGTGTATGGGTGCTCGTGTATTAAGGCAACTGCTGGGCATCGAGTGATTTATTTGCTACACACTCGCCAGCCGTGCGCCAGACACGAAAGGAAGAAAATTAATATTAAAAAATTCGTAAATTGTTTCGCTTCTGTGATGTATGTAAATACACGCGCGGATGCGCGTATACGATAATTCCCGCCTTTGATTTATATCAGGAGACGCCCAAAGAGGCGCCCAAACGGTCCAACTTTTCTGACTAATGATTATTATTGTTTGAAACGAGGACTATAAATGCGCGAACTATTGCGCCGAAGCAACTCATGCGCATACAATCATAGGCGTTGCTCTTTGATATTCTAGCTTTAATGGTTTATCGCAGTTTATTAGTTTTTCTTAGCTCACCAAGGTAGCGAGTGAAGCTTCTCGCACCAACTTGCCAACTTTTCTCGGATGTAGACTTTCCTTTTTTTTTGCACTCGTGCACTTTTAAAGCTTGAATAATTACGATATAACGAAAATGTTGTAAAGCAATTTCACTAAAGCATCGCGAAAAAGAAATTTAAATGAACCATAAGCCCTAAAAAAATTATAATTATTTGCAGAATGGGTATATGTGAACTTTACGCAGACAATCTATAACTTTTTACGCATCTACGGTTTTCGTCTGTGCAACTCAATGTTCCTTACTTGAACCTGAAACGTATATAAGGTGGTTTCCATAGTTTATTTATATTTGCTTTATTTCATGTCTCTAGATGAGCATAAAATATATTAGAATCTAGCTCATTCGAATCTTATAATATCCAATTAAATAACAGAAAATTACTTTTAATAATGTGATTAAATGATTTTATAACTAAAATTTAATGGAATTAAAAGTTTCAAACATTATATTATGTAATAAAAAAGTGGTAAAAGGGAATAATATTATTAAGTGAATAGTCGAAACTCATTTGGATTGGAACTAATTTATAATACGTTAGCAAACTCTTGATTTAATGCAATTATTGAATTTACAATGATTTCATTACAATACACATTGGACCGAAGCATTAAAGAATATTTTTGATTATTATTCATATATTTATCAATGTCACTGTTGTCGAGTTAATAATTTCCGGGAATATACAATTCTTTTGTGCACTCAGAATGTTCAAAACAATGTATTTTCTTTTTGTGTATTAAAGTACAACTCATGACTATATCTTTAATTATTCGAAGACTTGCGTGCATATATTTTTCCTCGCACTTTTTACGTGAACTGAATAGAAGCAGGGGTTATGTCAATGTCAAGAAAAAATATTTCCCATAAAGAGTTTTATATCTATGTATTTTCATTTGGCTTAAACAAAAGGATAAAGAGAATTAAGCGACGTGCATCTCTAGCCAAGCATAATGCGTAGTGAGATCCACCCTCGTGTAAATTATTATATACGTATTCAGGCCGGTACCCTGATTCAGCTTTACAGCGGCGATAAACTTCCAGCTTTAAGATGAAGCTTATAAGTATATTACACTCATTACTCTCTGCTTATTTTATTGCAAAAAATGTCTCTCTGAACATAGCTGTTTTTTTCAACCATTCATGAACAAATTGATAGTATGAATTAATTCTATTTACGTACAATCCTATATTTGATACTGCTTTACATATGTCATTGTTCTGGTGTGATAAATTTCATTTTTGAAACTCCTAGGCTACTAGAAAATATTATAATAGACCTTGTAACATTTTCTTCGTCCTCCTCCAACAAGTTTTTAAAGATTTAACGAGCGCACGAAAATGAACCTGCAGCAACTTATATACATGTAAATATAAAGGAGAGATGCAGAGAGATAGAGAGAGAGAGGGAGAGAGAGAGAGAGAGAGAGAAAGAGAGAGAGAGAAAGCGAAAGATGAAGGTAGAAAGCACAAGGTAGACATTAAAGATTCTCAAACTCAACAGTGTGCAGTCTAATCGACTTTGGGCTCCAGAACTTCTCTTTTCCAGAAAAGACCCGTAATTTTTCAATTACTTTAGCCACCCGCACAGAGACTCGTTTCGAGTTTTTCTTGGCTCTCGCGCCTTGAGCTCTAATATCTGGCACACTAGTGCAAGTTTCTGCATAACGTCGTTACATTGGCTAATGGAAAAAACAAACGAGCCGTGCATACTAGTGAGTGTATGCGTGTGTATGTGTGTGTGTGTGCGTGTGTTTCTGTTAGTTTTCGAGTGTCTGGAGGAGCTATAAAGAAAGGAGTGCTAGCGAAACATAAGTTTCGTTCTGGGGTGGCGATAAAGTTAGCTATTGCGGCGCAAGAAATTCGACGCCCTCCAAGCTAGTTGTATTGCTTATACAAACTTGAATCTGTTAATTAATTACTCCCCTGGCTGCAGGTGCTGCTTACTTTTCTCTCTCCCTCTCGCTCTTTCGCTGTGCAGTCGTGCTCGATGGGCCTTTTTCAGTACAATTCGCAAACATCTAAGTCGTACATTTATCTACTTGTAATTTTGCTCGGCAACAATGTGTTTTTTTTTCTTTGCTTTTTTTTATCCTCAGAGATTTCAATTAAGTTAATTAGCACTCGTTTGAATCGTCATTGTGCGCACAAAGCTTCTGAAAATTAAACTTAGAAAGTTACAATGGCACTCGAGTTCTTTATATAGTGATTCTGGGCACTTTTTTCCAAGGGAATAAAAACGGTAAAAGGGGGCATATTACGAAGATTAAGTGTGTAGCACATGAGATGCTGCGAGGCAGCAGCAGCATCATCATCATGCTGCGAGAGAGCGTCTCTCCGAGTATAAACCTAATACTTACGCGCATAATATATATCGCTTACCAGACGCTGCTGCTTCTACTGCTGCCTCGCAATAATGCATCCGGGCAGGAACTGGCTGATCAAGCTTAATTACGACATAATGCACTCCTGCTATACGCGTACGCGTACACACGATGCTAGTACGGGATTCGTATCGATTACACGAAGATGCGACACATGCACGAGTAGGCGTTCGTGCGTTGGCATGCTCGTGCTCCGCTGCACAAAATAATGACGTTTATAATGCAATATTTACCTGACACTTTATACCCTCATGTCGCTACATTTGTTGCTCGTTTTTCATGTTACAGAATGGCAACTATGTGATCGAGAACGACAACGACGGACTTGGTCTGTGTCCCTACGATCCAGCTCACAACAGTACCGCCGTCTTTGCCGGTAAGTTAAAAGCCTTTTATCATTCACTTTTTTTTAGCACTGGCATGTTTTTTTTTTTTTTTTTTTTTTTTAAAGAAATTTGAGAAAGAGGAAAACACAAAAAGCACCAACAGTTGGAGCTTTTTAATCTATAGCGTAGGAAAATATTTTTCGAAATTTTTTTTCAACTATATTTCCGGACGCGACACAGTTCTGGCAAAGTTTCAAAACCAACATCCACGTACATATTGTTTTCAGGTACTTTTTTTGCTGCTGCCAAAAGAGAAATACGCCTCGTTAGTCTCGCGATGTGATTTCAAGTCCTCTCGGTTAAAACTTGCGTATACACGGAGCTCGCGTTGCAAATCATATCGAATTAAATATTGATATACCCGCGCGCGCGGCCGTGTAATAAATGTGGACTCTGGCCTGAGTGACCGCATCGTTTATATTTGTACGCGAAATCGATTCTTAAACGCCCGACCGAAGCGCGAAACTGTTATCGATGCTGACAAGGGCTTTTTCCGAACGCTTGTTACCCGAACGCGAAAAGATAAGCCGCCCTCGCAGCGCACCGATGGGACAATGCATTAAACGTTCCGAATCCATCGGAGCCTAAAGGATGGAAAATACGTCGAGCTTTATCGATGCAAACGGATACGGACATGTAACAAAAAAAAAAAGGAAAAAAAACCAAAATTCCGAAAGAACGCATGAGAAGTCGTGATTAAAAACAAAAGTAGAGCAACGTAGTCCGTTCTAATTGTAAGTAAAAAATATTAGAATATTTTGCGTGCGCAAAAAAACTCGGCGAAGCGCGAGTGCAAAAAACGTCATAAAGCCATCTAATTTACATGGGCAACATTTTACGCCTGTTTATCTCGGGGGAGAAAACATCGTAATACATAATATGTCGCCCTCGCGCATTGTTCAAGGGCGTTAAACGAGCCGAATACACGCATGTTCACGGTAGGCAAGCACACAGCGCACAACGTCAGCGCACCTACACTTTGCATTTAACGCTGAAACAATGCAACGGCGCCGTCCGCAATGCAAAGGTCCTTTTCATCCGACTTTTTTTTTGTTTTGGGTTAAATAACGCATCAAAAGTAATGCCATCAAAATTAAAAGAGCGCGAATATTTTACGAAAATTTCGAAGATCCAAAGCTCAGACTCACAAAGGGAGATAATGTCCTTCCCTTTTTATTTTCCATTTTTCCATTTATGTGTTCAGCCTGCGCATAAGGATTCTTTTTGCGTTTTGCCAAAATACAGAAGCTTTAACGCGCGCGTTGGTTCAAAAAGTTTCCGTACTCATAGCTGCTACAATCCTCGAAAGCGAGCTCCTCGCCACGAAACTCCTGAGATTGTTTTGCCAGTGCGAAAGCTGCTTTTTGTTTTCAATATTTCTCCGTGTGGGTGCGCGCGCGTTTACACAGTAAGCAGCTCGAATGTCAGGCTGTTTTCCATCTAGCGTGACTTTGGGACTACGCGTGTACATAAGCAGCGGCCAGATATCTTAATCCTCTTTTTCTCTCTTATTATGCGGCCTGTTTTATAAGGGAAAAGTTTTGAGCTCGTTGGCAAAAGGCAAAATTAACAGTGGCATCATTTCAATTTTAAATTAGCCGCGTGGTTTCGTAGTTACTACCACTATTCTTACTGGTATACTAGTAATACTGCCTCTACTACAAGCGTTGCACTTTCCGTCTTTTCTTTTTGCTGATACTGTTACTGCTACTACTTGTATGAAATATGGATCAGACAGTTTGAAGCTCACTGAATTGGGTTGCATAAAAGAAAAACTAATTTTCCCTGAATTTATCGCGACTTGTTTGTGCGCGCACGAGCCGGCCGCAGGTAGTAGCTCGGGTGAATTTTATGCGTTTTCAACGAGAAAATAAATTACATCCCCTTCGAGATAAGCGCGCGAGTGGCATAACCGGGCAATATTGCATTAAAAAGCGGCTCCGCTATTTACTCGCGCTCGAGTGGCCACGATGAACGGGCGCTTCTCTGTTTTGTTTTTGGATTTTCTTGAAACTTTGACGCGAGGCCCATTCGAGAATGGGTAGCGTGAACAAATGATATTCATAGCGAACACTTCGGTGCGCTCGATACAGAAAACGCCTCTGCAGTCGCGGTATTATATTGCACGAGTACGGGTATGCGTGTGCGACGAATAAGACTGTAATGCGAAATTCTCGCTGTGCAGAGCACTTAGAAGCGAGAGAGCAAGAGACAGTAAACATTCCACGAAGAACACCTTCTCTCTCTCTCTCTCTCTCTTGCTGGCATACACTCAGGCGGCACATGCTACGTACATGCAGGCTTGCGTTCCACCTTATTCGAAAAGCGAAGCCCGAAAACAGCTTAATCTACGATGCAGCTGCCTGGGAAACAAGCCTGTGTTTTACGCGCGCACCTTATATTCTGGCGTGCCGACAGAACATGCGGTATGCATAAAAGGTTGCAACAAATCTAGGCGACGATGGCGAACGCCCCGCACTGTAGTCTTACTGGGGGGCGCAAAACTTATGAGGCCAGCTCTACTGTGCCGTGAATAAAACCCTTTTTATCATACGATATGAAATACATAGGGTAAATAAAATGGAAATGAATGTGGATCTAATAGTTATAATCTATGCTATTACCGATAGTGGTATTCGTTTTTTAATCCTCTACAAAAGCATACAGTCGCTATCATTTTTTCGTGCCAAAAGCATTACTCAATGATAAAAAATTAATAAAAATGGCAGTGTCGAATGACGTAAAAAAATAAAGACGAAAAAAAATTAATTTGAATTTCTTTTTCGTGATCTACAAACCTGAAAGTGCTTATTAAAAATAATCAATACTTTCGATAGTAAATAAGAGGTAGAATAAAAATAGTTGGTTGTATTTTAGTAGGTGCAAAGGTTTCCTTTGATCTTCATGATAAATGAAGAAATATGAGGAAAAAATGAATGCAAAAAAACGCTTAAGGTACAGGAAAAAAGTTCATGTAAATTATTTTATCTTTGTGAACAATGAAAATGGTTTAAATTAAAAGAAAGGCGTTAAATAAATCAAAATAAAGCAATTCACCCCATATAAAGTGATGAAAGTTTATTTACAGTTTTTTATATGTAAGCTGTTCACTCGATTTTTCTAAAAAGTATTATTTTTCAAGCGTACTCATGAACAATATACAGAGGCAAAAGTAATATTTATTCAAAGTAATTTCGAATCATGCCTTGACTCCTTCTTTGGTAGTTAAATAAATGCAAAGAAAAAGAGGGAGAAAGAGAGGAAATATACAACGGTAAACAAGTTTTGCTCTTTTGTTTGCAGACGGTCAACTTTATGCTGCTACATTCGCTGACTCCTCGGGCGGTGAGCCACTCATACATAGAGAGAAAATACGCACCGAACGCTCAGACTTGAATCAGCTCAATGGTAAGTAACATCCTTTTTTAGTCCCATTTTTATGCATAAACATATGCGCGAACATATTATGACAAGCTGAAATTTTAGCTATAAAATTTTTTATTAATTAAATTTCAGACTCTTTCGCGTTGCTTTGAGCTTTCAAATAACGAATTTCCCAACTAATGATATTTTTTAAATGCGTTTTAAGGTACAAAAAGAACGCAATTATATGTAATTAAAAAAACTACGTCCCACACGCAAGAAAAAATTAATCATTTACTACCTTGGCCGGAGAAAATAAAATTCATTAAACAAATAGCTTTCATCGTGCTTTCAAGGCGTAAAATACCAGACATGCACTACGCACGTATATATACACGCACGTGTCACATCCATTATCACCAGCCTGAAATTCCGAGCCTCGAGGCTTTCCCTTGTTGTGTATATGCGCCGACGCCAAAAATGAGAGACAACATTTTTTTCTCCTCGCCCGTTGGAATTCGGTAGTTCCGGGATGAGATAACGAACTTGATATAATTATACCCGATCGTTTTCGTACCTTTATAAGTACGCGTGTAGGTACATTTAATGTGATTCTTATCGTGTTTCATTCAAGCCTCCGTGAAAAATTCGTACTGCCATTATGTGCGCCCACCTTGAATATGTGGAAAGTACTCTTGAATTTCCACTAATTAATTGCAGATAAATTATCCTCGGTGATTTTTCGCGTCCACTCGATCATTCATTTTATTTTCCCCATTCTATCAAGCAGGTATTTCATTCAACTTTTTTTTATTTTCTAGGACCGAATTTTGTCAGTTCATTTAGTTACGGAGATTACGTGTACTTTTTCTACCGTGAAACGGCCGTCGAGTACATGAACTGCGGCAAGGTAAGACGTATAAATATTACAGCACACGTGCACTCACACATTATTTGACCTCAATTTTTTCTAATGCACGCGTACAATTTTCTTTTTCACTCCTCGTATTACATTATTTGCATTAAATTGTTCAGAGCCAAAATTGCCCTGCTTCACGTTTTCATTAAATTTTCAATATCGCTGTTTTTATTATTGTTATTATCATTATCATCATACATATTGGATCCATTTTGATGATTATTATGTCGGTATTTTGAAAAATGTATACTGCAAGTAGTGCAAATCGTTTTGTAATCACTTTGTATTAACTTTATAAAGTTAAGGAAATTTCCATTTTTAAATTCCATATGTTTATCGCGTACAAGTATTAGGAGTTATAAACATTATGTGTTAGTGTCTCACTTTCTATTTGTATTTTTCTCTTGCGACGACGATCACAGGCTGTCTACTCGAGGGTCGCACGGGTGTGCAAACACGATAAGGGCGGACCACACGCATTTGGCGACAGGTGGACTAGTTTTCTCAAAGCAAGGCTCAACTGCTCGGTGCCTGGAGACTATCCATTTTACTTCAATGAAATACGTAAGTGTATATCAAAATGTTTTCATGTTCCCATGCATATTCATGTGTGTATTTGCGACCGATGGTGTGACCTATTAATTAATAATTTCCACAAAAGTAATTTCATTTTACCCTTTAATGGTTCAAACGCTAAAAGTACTCGCATCGTGCGTATTTATATTCGCGGTAATTTCATACTCCTCGTTTATCCATAATACGCAGAAAGGGATTTAAAATATATGTCCATTTAATTGCGAGTGAGGATTTTTGCGTTAATGCACAAATGCGTTATTTCTGAAAAAAGCGAATGGAAGTATAAATGTAAAAACGAGTTTGCTATTATTTTCGAATCAAGTTATAGCGGATGTACAGAATGAATATTGGCGAACGATACGCGCATTATGAATAAAAAAAAAGAGCAGGTGTAATATTCTCCTTAGGAAAATTTCCTCTTGCTCTCGAAATGGATATTTGAAGCGTGCATTGAAGGTAAGAAATATCTATAAAATCCAATAAGGTTCGAGTGCAAGAGGGAGAGTTGTAAAAGTCCGATAGAAATCTGCAAAATCTTCGTAATGCAGTTCTTATATACTCGGGTGTGACAATAACTTGGAATAGTCGTAGCTCGAGATTGAAGCCACTCCGGAGATTTATGGAATCACAGGCGTAGTGGCCGTAGCAGACTGCAAAATTGAAATACTTTATATGTTTACATATTGCGTGGGGAAGAAGGGAGAAAATATAATTTTACGAGCATAACACGTTGCTCTCACTCTATATTGGCGCGGCAAAGTTATTCAAAACAGAATAGTAGTAGTAGTAGTGAAAAACTTTTCGTTTTGCTCGCTCGTTCGCTCGCTCGCTCGCTCGCATACATCGTTTATTTACGGCATTTAATACAATTTTGCGCGTGGCCTGCGCGCGTCCGTATAGCGATAAAGAAAAAGAAAAATAAGGCAAAAAAAGAGAACTTGACGAAAGTTTACTAATCTACTAGAGAAAATATCTTTTATATAGGATAAAAACAGGTGCAGATTTAAAGCTCACTTTTTTCAGAAAGATTTTTTCATTAGTATTGGTTTACGACGCGCTTGAGAGTGTTTATACTCGTACAAAAAAAAGTTTCTCTTATACAACGCAGCCCCAATAATAGTATGACGCGTATACTTTTTCTTGTGGGTTCCATAACGATGTTTACACTTGATAGTGAAAAGAAAATGACTCGTTGGATTCTTTCCGTTGCTATAATTAACCATATATTACGCTGAGGGGTATACGTATCGGTCAGGGTTTAACGCTATAGGATTATATCTAGGAATCGCTCGCCTCTACAACGGCATAATCTTCCACCGGTGACTCATATCATCAAATGTCAAAGCTATTAATACGCGGCATATGTGCTTCACGCAAACGACAAAGGCTCTCGCAAGGATATACTTTTCTTCGTTCGTCGCGTGCTAGTAATACATACGTGAAAGGAAGTTCAAATGATTTCTTAGTCTAAAGGTGAGGGTGCATGTGCAATATTGTGCGCACTAGGGCTGCGACGAGCGTATTCAAAGTATGCCAGCGGGCGAGAGGCAAATAGACCAGGACGATTGATGGTATTTTTCAATTTCCGTTCAAGACTTTTCGGAGTTACACGCGTAATTCGCATGACTCATAGATAAGGTACATCCACTAATGGTCCATATCGTCAATAAATCGCGGCCTCCACCTCCCTTCTTCCTACAAATTATGCCCCAGAGACTCGTAATGCCTCTTGCTAGCTTGCCTGTTGATACGCGTATACATACGCGTTCTTATAATGAACTGTACAGCTATCCTCCGATGAGGGAGATGATAATACCTTTTCAAGCATCAAGAGCGTTATACTTTTTTTGCAAATATTTTAAAAATTTATTTGTTATATGCAATTCAAAATATTAGTACGAAGGTACATCAAGATATCGAACTCTCTCTCTTTATTTCTCCAATTTCCTATCTTTTACTTGTTGAAAGTCAACGCTTATGGTTTATTTTTATTTCCATTTATGTAGTACATGTTTGTTACATTATTAAGTTTTAAAAATATGCAAATGTTTTGGAGCTGCAAATTGCGTCACATTGGGGTTTACCCTACGGCCAAATGAAATGTATCTATCTGTCTTTCTCTCCTTCTCTCTCTCTCTTTCTCTGTTAGGCTGGGTGAAAAGACGACGTCAGTGACGACGATGCGACTGCCAGCCGCAAAGACAATTATTTCCCTTTGGGAAATACTCGCTACGTCTCAATGACGTATACCTTATACGTGTTATAGTTGCTCGTATAGACACAGAGGGGCGTCGATGTTTGACGTGAACCCGTGTAATCAAGTACGTTTACGAGTAATAAACACGCGTATCGCGTTGGCACTTTTCCCTACCTTTCTTCTCTTTCGTGCTACGTCTCCTGCTATGTCTCGCCTGTAGGGAGCGAAAAGTTTGAAAAATAGAAAAAAATATCCGTTCCCGAGAGAGCGCATAGCAGGACTTATTACATGTGTGCTTACATTCAATCTGATAATAGTGAGATTAAGACGAACAAAAGCTCATTAACGTGGCTTTATAACGTGCAGCCGCTGCGCTGCCTCTGTAAAGTTATGTAAGCGCAAATATATTTCTAACTGATTTAGATATACAAACTCTGTTCTCTCTCTTTCTCTATAAGCGAACATGAGTGATGTGCATAATATTGAATGTAGCCATAAGCAACAGTTTAATTCCTATATGGCTTACGCTTATATAATTCACAGACACACGTGAAGGAGGTCATTGAATTTTCGTTCGAGAGTAATGTGTGTAATTTTCGATCAAAAGTAAGGTGCGCTCATGCGTATATAAGTGTACAAACACTATTTATTACAAAGAATAGTGATAAACTACACGGCTGGTATTGTATTTTATCGCTCAGAGACATGATTAACGCTTTTCGACTGTGCGCACAAATAGCCAATTTTTTAAGCATATGCACATTAACATATTACCATACTCACCCGCCAACGCGAAATTTCGGGGAAAAAAACGAGAGAGAAGTTGATGCCTAGCTGAAAATGTTACAACGACGCAAAAAAATGAAGTAATCTAGCAAGGGCGAGAATTTTTAAAAGGGCATATGAAGGCTCTTACTTTAAGTTGTGTTTTGGCAATGTGTTTGTGAGACTGTGGGTCTGTGGGTAGAGGACTATTCTACGATTGGCGCGGGGCCAGCATCACGAACGATATCTGGAATTAAAATCTATGGCGGATGAAGTACAAGCACGTCAATCCTTTTTTTACCTTTAAAAGTTAATATGCGAACTTTCGCTGATAATGCAACGAATGATTTTAGTAATAAATCGGCATTCCCGAGCTCTACGAGAACAAATCACCTGTGCCCTTTTTAAATCACATTATTGGTTTTTCGTTATGGAAAAATACATTCAACGGGAATATTTCTTTTTATATTTTATATTTTTATGGCTCGCGAGGTTTGTCTTTAACGAGTAGTTCTTGCCCAGACTGCGATCCTATTGAATCTTTGGAAATGCTCTTAGTGCGATAAAATTTGTCACAAAATTTATTTCAAAATCGTAAATCGGTTCATTCAATGAAAACTGCCGTCACGCACAAAAGACAAATATGATAAATATATTATTGGCGTGTAGGCCAAGTCTATATCCTCACAAATTTAATTCATACAGCTGGGCGACGGCGAACGAAACGAAATTATGTTCCTGCGTGTAAAATCTCATAAATTATCAATCACGTATAAAGAGGAATACGCGCGTTTAAATTCGTTCTCGCGCGCCGCATGCAGCTCTCGGGCTGACCAGATTCTTTATTACACGCGACAAACGCATATTAATATTCACACACGATCCCAAGCTTTGCCAAAAAGTTATCCAACCAGATGATGACTGTGTGATTTAAAGTTTAAATGAAACTCAGCTTTTGCAACCCCTCTTTTCGTTTCATTATTATTTTTATTTTTCACCTGAGCGAATGGTAGCAACAATACTCCAAGTAAAAAATGAATTAATTATTTTTTGAAATGTACAATGGTTGCCTGATTCATATAGAGTGAGAGTCAATAGAAATTCTTAAATAGTTATTTCAATACTCAAAAACTGTATCCTGTATTTACTAAACTGTAATCCATATTTATTTATGTAAATGATATTAACAAAAAAACAATATTACCGAAATTTCAACTTTTTTGAATTGATCGAAGGGTCAGAGTTTCGTGGTTAATCTAATCAATTGTTTCACGTTCGATTGAGTTCAGTCGATTAATCGTTACAAAATAGTTCCGAACCTATTGTTTTATCGGAACATTCAGCACTTCCAAACACGTATATGCTGTGCATGTGCAGACATAAACGAAGCACTCCCTGGTGACATCAAGCGCGCATCGATGCTTTCAACTTTTTAGCGTGCGTCTCGTCGTGTCTCATCCATTCCCCTCGAGACTCATGGGAAATTTCATTAGCCGCCTTCCCTCGCCGCTTTTGCCCGCCGTACAACGTCGTCTAATACTTATACTTTTATTTTTTTTATGGATAAGCGTAAATCATAAAATTTCGTGCACATTCGCGCATCTTTATTGTTGCTGAGCTCTTATACGTATATAAATAAAACTTGATACATATTTAATCAAAAAATAGAAGGTAAAAGAGTATTGCAAGTAGTAGGGATGAAGCCTGTATTTATATTTATTTATTAAGAAAAACATTAGACGTCACAGATGATTCGATCAAAAGCTCGGGGGAATACAGATTTTGGATCAGAAAATTTATTATAGACAGTAAAAATCGACCTTTTTTCGATGTCAAGAAAATAATCGAGAATATTATTTCCATTTTTATTTTTAACACGATTGTTTGTACGAACATTTATTACCTCATTGATCTTAATTTGATTGTGACGGAATAAAACGTCGATATAAAGACGTTAGAAAATGGCTACTTCATTTATTTTCCTCGCTTTTATCAGCTCATTCGATATAGATATTTTTTGAAAGTCAGAAAATCATAAAAATGACGATTCTGTGTATTGACTGAATTTATAGTCCGAAAATGTCATCATACATTGAAAGAAAGTATTTCTGCCTTCGATATAAAGTTCAAAACGCTTGCGGAATTTTCCTCGTGAAATGACAAAGGCTGTACGAACAAAATATACAGTTATATTATAACTCATGATGTGTCACCAGAGGCTGAGAAGTAAATTTGATCGATGATTGAAATTTTTAGAGTCGACGAGCGACGTGACGGAAGGCCACTACATTGACGGCCACACGCAGTTGATCTACGGCGTTTTTACGACTCCGGTGAATTCGATTGGTGGCTCGGCCGTTTGCGCCTTTTCCATGAGCGATATCCTTCAGGTATTCCAGGGTGCCTTCAAGGAACAAGAGACCATCAACAGCAATTGGTTGCGAGTCATGCCAGACAAAGTACCTGAACCGCGCCCCGGAGCTTGCGTCAACGACTCGCGGACGTTACCCGATATCACCGTGAATTTCGTCAAGTCTCATCCACTGATGGACGACGCCGTGCAGACGTACTTCGGTACGCCCGTCGTTACCAAGGTCACATACAAGTAAGTACTCATTTTTCTTGATATAACATTCGCGACTGATTCAAGCAAAAAGTTTCGGGAATTATCGTGTACGCACGGGCACGGCAGGCGCATGTTTGCTTATTTGTCGCAAAATAAAGTTACCACTTTGCCTAGCATTTTGATTCATTAAAACTATTTCACATTTGTACGCGCTGGCACAGAGACGGACAAAAAGACGTACCTGAACGCGGCAGAGAAATTTCGTGGAGTGTATATGTTTAAACTTTTCACAATTTTATCGCGTAAATACTGAAATTAAACTTTCTTTATTTTTCTGAAACAAAAGTGGAAAAATAGACATTTTTGTGGGCTCGCGCGTGCAGCCCTCTGTGCGGCCTTTCTATATCATATTGTGTATCTCGCATACACGTAGACGTAAACAGCATACGCGCGCTCGTGCACGGGCATTCAAACATTTACAAAGCTACAAAAGTTTAGAAATAATTTTAACTTACTCTTGCCCATGGTTAACCTTCTGCTTGCCCGTGTGCGTGTGTTTTACATACCCACGCGCTTGTAGATTATAATTTTCTCTCTCATTCATGTAAATGCATAATATGCACGGAGTGCAAAACTGTGGTGAAGTTGGGATCTCTCGCTGTGTGTGTGTGTGCGCGCGCGCGTCTCGCTTACGGCTCGCACTGGGAGTAGCCACTGTGTGACATTGTCGTGCTTTCACGCGTACAACTTTGCCGAGCGTAAATGCAAAATAATCACGATAACAACAATAATAACGCGCGCGTTTATGCTTCGATAAAACTACAGCCGCCAACGAATGACCACAGATATACAGACGAGCAATGCGCGCAACGACAATCGCGTTAAATCTCATTCACAATAATATAATGTACTTCTGTACTGATTGCTCCCGATCGAAAGCTTTCTTCTTCACTGCAGTTGTTGTTATTTATTTGTAAATAATTTAAGCTCGCCTCAAAACAAAAAGAAGTTTAATAGGATCAATGACAAAGTGCACAATGATAATGTAGCGACTCTTTTTCTAGTTATCGATTCACCAAGGTGGCCGTTGATCCGCAAGTGAAGGCGCTTGACGGGAAATTGTACGATATTCTCTACATCGGCACTGGTAAGCTATACACACAGACTATTTTTTTCTAGATATGAAATTTCAGACTTGATGATAACTCATCGTTTTATTACTTTTTCCTTATCACAGATGATGGCAGAGTGCTGAAAGCTCTTAATACAAGGAGTCCTGTCTCAAGAAACGACTCAAATCAAGTGATAGTCAGTGACGCTCAGGTTTTACGATACGGTACGTTCTGAATTACTGTAAATATGGAAGTAGAAAAAAAATTAACGAGAATAATTCTCGACTTTGATAACTGTACTATTTTCTCTTATCGAGCCTAACCAACAGACTTCATTTGTTGTTGTCTTCATGGAAAATAGCTTAAGTGACTATGGGTATCAATTTCTAACGTCTTTTTTTTCTATGGATCTAGGCCAAGCCGTAAAAGATTTGCAAGTGGTTCATTTAGCTGGCGAAGCGAGCAAACTTGTAGTGATTGCGGATTCGGAAATACGAGCCGTACCATTGCATCACTGCGACTCGCCGTCGGCCGGCTCGTGTGCGAGCTGCATCGGCCTGCAGGATCCACATTGTGCTTGGGACGCCGAGCACAGCCAGTGCGTCGCCGTGATGACGCGACTACACGACAGCGACGCCGATAAGATGCTTTATCAGAATATAACTAGTGGAAAGCATCGGGGATGCGGCACTTACGATGCAGGTAAGCGATATCAGCAGCTTGAATTAAAACTTTTTTCGAGTTTAAAAGTCTCGCTAGTATAACTCGACGCATACGAGGGGGGATTTTCTTGCTCTATTATATTTTCAAATCACATTACTGAGCAGCAGAAAGGATTACTTTCGGGATTTCCCGAAGGGTGTGAAAACGCAAAACATTACGCTTCAGTGTTTTTCTTTGACTTTTCCAACTCTGTTTCATATTATCACAAATAAAAGAGCAGAAAGTATAAGCTCTTCGCGCGACTACTAAGTCTGCTTTTCTACGGCAAAGCCGCACTGGAAAAATATGCGCATTTTACGTTACCTGAGCTCGTTTTTTTCATGTACTAAAACTTTTTGTCATCGCTTCAAGCCGTCTCACAACCGAATTAACACTCTGTGGAAAGTGGAGCTTTTTTTTGTTGGTTTGCTAAATATATTTGTATTAACTCGATCAATTCCAACCCCATATAAATCATTGAAATTCATCATTCATACTCGATAACACTGGGGAAAAAATTGCCTCACAGACCCGAAGCAGGTGCAAACGATGCCACAGAGGCCAAGTCGGGGTCCACCCGATAACGGAGGAGTTGTACTCGGTCCGGGGCCCATCGCCGAGACGCAGCCGAACGAACGGGACAACGAGATCATCATCGAGCTTGATCCGGATAACCAGTACAGTAGAACGCAACCGCGTGCCAACGATCCGCAAGGTGAGGCTTTTTCCATTACTTTCACAGGTTGAGCCGTCCGAGGAATCATAGAAAATATACGCTTTTAATGTGTTTCTTGTTAGCATTATTTGTCAAGGTTCATTTTCAATTTGCATAAACTTATTACTACGTTGTCACTTGTCATATGAAAATAGTCATGATTTTTTTTTATCGTCTTAACTCTGCGGTTACATGTATGTCTTATGTATGCGATCATAACACTAATTACAGCTAGCACATTCGCCGCTGAATACCGATTGCTCAATTTTCAATTCTTCAAATATTGGATTGCAAAAAGTATTGTTAATTAAGCAAGAATAAGAATATTGATTTTTACTTCTCATTCGTTCGAATGAATGGATGAGCGAGCGATGAAAGCTAATCTCATGTTGTTTTTTCCTTCAAATAAACAGGTGTAATTGTCACGCCAGTCGTATACTCGGCGCAAACTTTGACAGGCGCTCTCATCGGCACGTGCTTCTTTTCTCTCATTGCGGGTTTTGCATCCGGCTTTTGGTTTTCACAACGTCTTCGTAACGTACCTTATCCCGATCCACCGGAGCAGCGTCAACAATTGAATCGTCTCACAGAAACGACAGAATCGCCAGGCTTCAATAATAAGTCCATAAATCTTGTTCTCAACGTACCGCCGAAGAATCCTAATGGCAAAAACGCCAACTCGTCGGCCGAGAACAAGCCTGTACAGAAGGTCAAGAAGACCTACATATGATATAGAAATAGACAGGCTGTATGAGGTATGGCCCCAGGTTCGGTGCCACCCATCGCAGGAACCCTTGGTAAGTACTGAAAGAAAGTTAGTTATGAAAAGAGTCAAGGCGATTCTTTTAATCGAATGTTATGGTTGAACACAGGTTCGGTCGATGGAACAGCAGGCAACCGGCCCGTGAAGCCAACGGCCTCAGCGCCTTGCACTATCTCTGGTAGCTCAGCTCGCAGCGCAGGCAGCAGCACCACGACGTCCAATAGCAGCACCATCACCGACAATACGAAGCAAGTGTCTCACCAAGCTACGCCGCTCGATCCAGCCCCGGCATACGACAGCGCCTATGTGCCCGGAACGTATCCGCCGGAGCCCGCACCCGATTACGAGCCTCACGATCAATTCATCGAGCTAAACTACGATCGCGAGCGTGGCTACTACGACCAGCAGCACAATTCGCAGTACCAGCAACCGATCGATCGGCTAGCCGGCTACGATCGTCACCCTTACGCGCAGACTGATTACGGTTACCACGAGCCGCGCGACTTTTATCATCATCCGGTCGAGTCCGACGCCGAGTATCAAGAAATAGCTGGATACTACGCTCAGCCTCAAAGCATCGTTCATAGCGTCAGCAATCAGACGACTACCGGACGAAGGAGCAGAAATGCTTACGCTGACGATTATCTAACGTAAATGGGCTCAATGCATGCTTCAATTGTCCTTTTTTTATTGTAATACATACACACGCGCATCCGTACACATACACATACTCACACTCAGACACACCAATTTACAAACAGAACCACATATTAAAATAGTGTACATAAACAACAACGACGAGGACTTTATAAATGGAAATATACATTCGTATAGTATAAATGTGTATTGGAAACATTTTAAAGCTCCGTTATTACAATTGGATTTGTCGTCGTCTAGTGCGCGCATGCGATACAAAGTATTTTTGTATTAGTGCTCCGAAAAAATGATGCAAAACAAACTCATAATCTTGCAACGCTACTCTTGCGAATAACTTTGTAATATAAGTTAATTCTTCCATAAACGATTTACACCTCAACAAAAAGTAACGTGAATTAGTGAATATAAAGAAGATACGCATAGTTGAGAGCCACCGTTAAAATATTTGTCACTTATAGATTTGATCGTGATAATAAAATTAACGTACGATTTTAAAAAACGAACGTGCTAAATATTTCAGATTTTGAAACGTATGAATTGGGTAACTTGTCCCATAATTTGGATAACTATATCAAGTTGATAATATCGAAACTTCATTAATGTAATAGAAATTAAGAAAATAGGAAAAAAATGCATAGTCAAAAAATCTTACTCGATGTGATCGAGATGTTTTGAACGATAAGCACACAAGTGTACATATAAATATACATACACAAAGTAAAAAATCGTTAAAAAACTTGATTTATCATAATAAAAATTCAAGCTTTGACCAGTATCTTGCGACTTCGTTTAATAATTATGTCATATGGACTTATGATAGTAGTTGGGATTTAAGCAGGAAAAGACAATTATGAAAGAATGATTATGAGTGCACAAAGAAAAGTTAATAAGCGTGAGTTATTTAAAAAAAAGTATAATATGTGTTACTAAAATTGTGATAAGCTTCAGAAGAGTTCGTTCTTAGTAGTGACATGTTGGTTGCTTAAATCCTGATGAAAATACAACTTTACATTGTGGAAACCAGAAAAAAATTTGACAACTTATCAAGAAAAAACAATTATGCAAGTGTAAAAAAACTGTGTGTAATGATTCGCATTTGGAGTCGAGGCGTGCCTTCCATTTATTAGTTTGTTGGCAGTATCATCTGAAACTAAATAAAAAAATTATATTTAAAAATTCTGAAATAGGATTTTCGAGAAAATTATTAGTAATTTGAAAGAGCAACGACGAGAACGAGAGAAAGAGAGAGTGCAATTTAGCGCAGAGGGACTTGGGCAAGTGCCTCAATTTTTTTTATCTATTATTTTAACATATTTTAATATAGCTACTCGATATCATTGTTCATTTAAAAAAATATATTGATTCGAGTTACACTATAGTATTTACGAATCTATATAAATTTTGACTGCTTGCTCCAGTGAAAATGAATGTATTTTAAAAAGTAAAAAAATAAAAATTATAGTAAGGAGATGAATGACAAAACTATGTAATGAGAATTATAATATATTTTTTTTGTTTGCTTGTGATACACCTAAAAATAAATAATCTGGTTACAAACCATGACGATATATAATAATAATAAAAATAATGATTATAATTATAATAATAATAATAATAATAATAATAATAATAATAATAATAATAATAATAATAATAATAATAATAATAATAATAATAATAATAATAATAATAATAATAATAATAATAATAATAATAATAATAATAATAATTATAATAACAATATATAAGTATATTGTGTAAAGCGTCATCGTGCATGAACCGATGCTTTTTTCTGTTATGTAGCTTGTGAAATGTCCTAAAATACGAAAACAACTTATATGATTGTAAATGCCTACATTCATGAATCTTTTGATTTATTATAATTATGTGCAGGAGACTGACACGTTGAAATCGCGATTCTTTAAAAAAATATACTCTTGTTATTTGGCGATCATAGATCATATATAGAAAAGTAACATACATCTAATAAACATAAAGTATACATATTTAAGGATACAATTATTATATGCACTTATGTTTAACAACGATAAAAAATAACTGTAATATTTGATACTATGACAAAAACTATTTCTTGATTGTTTCTTCAAATATCCGATCTTATTCAATACTTCTCAATTTTACTAAGAAAGGAAAAAAGTAGTTCATTGTCCTAATGTCAAGTTGATTATTTTCTAATTATATAGAAAATGCTTTTTATGATAGTCTACAAAATTGAAATTTATAGCTTGTAAAAACATTTTATACTACAACGAATAACGCACAAACATTATAATTAAATTATTAAATCATGAAAAAATATAATTAACAATGTTTTGAATTGTAGGTAAATATAAAAATGAGTTTCGCAAAAAAAGATTCTTTCAAAAATCTTAGAGGACAGGGTACGTACAGAAATTAATTTTTTTTCCTACGGTATGTAGAAAAAAAAATATCGGAATGCATAAGAAAAAGTTATAAGAGTAGTAAAAACTGCTTTACATAAAACTGTAAATAAATAGTATTAATTTTACCGTAAAACAGCGAGTGCGCGAATGAACAAAATGTATATTATATGAATTATTGTTGAAATTAAATTTAACTTGTGCACGACTAAAAATTGTTGGAAAATTATGACTTATGACAATTTTGTTACATGCTCATGTGAAAATATTACAGAAAATCAACTATCGTCTCGATTAGCATAATCTTAGATAAAATTGTCTACGAGTAATTTAAAAAATGAGCTCTTATTGATTTTTGTAACAGCAAATATTACGAATATATATTTGTGTATTATTAAAACTAATAACAATTATATATGCAATTTATAGCTTTTTGAAATCTTCTAGATTTCAATTTGTGCGTCAGAACTTATACAAAATGATGATTTTGTACTACTCAATTAAAGTTACATGTGTACAGCTTATTTAAATTTAAATTTAATTTGCTTCTTTCTAAATTAAAAGGATCTTATAAATTAGATTCAAGAAGCTATTTAGAAGATATCTAACTTATAGTTTATTCAATTTGTTATAGGGAATACACGATAACCATGACAATTATCTGTGCTATAGATTATTTTTTATTTATTAATTGTTTATATTATCGTGCGAATTATTTTGAATCCAAGTAGTATTGTAAAGAGATTATTTAATATGAGCATTGAGAGTTTGTGTGCTGATATGATAACACTTGCTTGGCAAAAGAAGTTCATTCCAATAAAGCCAGGGCTGCCAACGATCATGATGAAAATTCATTAGTGAATATACAATAAAACTATATTGTAGATAAAAATGTAGTAAAAGTAAAGAATTATGTAATGTAAAAGCATAAATTACTAAATATTGTGAATTTCGTTAATCACGAGTGTATCGCGATATTATTTGTATTATTTGACTCTTATGCGGAAATATTATTGATAAGTAACGCGTTTTAATAAATTTTTTATATGAACTTGTAAATACTCTTTCAGCTCATTAAAACGCATTTTTTAATTATAAAAAAAGTTTCGCAAATATATGCACTAAACAAATTTATTGTGAAAATAATGTGTTTCATTTTTCTCTGAAAACCCCTTTCCTTATATTTATTTATAGAAAATTAAATTTTCACTATTAATTTTATTTAACATAAAAACAGGAATAAAAATATAACAATTATTTTTGAACGAAGTGTAGGAATAGTATATTACACAACAAAGGAGTAAGTGTAAAGAATGTATGTAATACACGTGATCTGAGACATTATCTCCTTTCAATTTATTCTGGTTTTCCAGGAGAATACATATCAAGTTTTCGCAACAATCGCGGTTTAAATAAAAAATGATCCTGCATTTAGACCTCGTCTGTGTAGGTATCAATTTAAGGGTACGTCGTCACATGACCGAATTAATCATAAAGAATAAATTGATATTTCGGACGCGTAAAGGTAAAAAATTGAGATTATCTCCATTCTTCCGTGTTGTTTATACGATTTTTCTTCATACTTACATGCTAAGGTATGAAGAAAAAAATATTCCATAATTGGAGCAAATTTTTTAAGCTTTTTGATGGTAACGTTAGATTTTCGAACAATTTTTTTCGCCGGTAAAATTTCTATAAAACATTCAGATCTTAATATCTCGGAAAATGTCACTTTTTGGCTTTTTTAATATTCGAATCAAAAGATAAGTATTTTGCATTAGATACGGTAATTTTCAGGTTTACTTCTGATGAAAGGAATTGAAGTTCGAAATAATTGATGGATTTACAATTCTCCAGATTATATCTAGATTTCTAATCTGTTTAGATGTTGTTTCTGAACAATTCCGAAAAATTTGAAGTATATTATGGTTTGACTCATTTAGTGCTGAAGGATTTTCAAATTTCCAATCAAATCAGCTGTCGGTAAAGTGACTTAAGATATAATTTACTTCGTATTAGTGTGAATAAAGCCTAACGAGTAAATATTTTTGTTTTTGTCTTGTTGCATGATTAAATCAGTATTATTTCTTGATAATTTACCCATAAAAAAAAAAATTTATTAGTAAGTTATACACGGTTTAGATTAAAATCAAGTATTTATAAAAATAATTAGAAAGACATGAATATCGTCTAAGAATAATAAAAATAAATGCTGTAACCTGAAAACTTGATATTGACTCAATATTTTTCAGAAAAACACTTTATCACGATTTCAGATGATTTTGTTATGATGAATCACTTCAGGTATAGACACAAAAAATGGATTAAGAACCATCAATTTTCATCATCACATGAGCTTGTTGTACATCAAATTATAAACAGTGAATCAATTATGCTGTTTTGTTGAATGCTAAATTGTTGGCCATTGGGACAAAAATACGAAATGTATCATTTATTTATCAGTGGGTACCGTCTGGTAAATGTATCACATGGCAAACCTTATTATGTTTATACAATAGAAATACTTAATTCGAATAATGGTGCTAGATATCTAATCGAAAAGAGATACAGTGAATTCAGCTCTCTGCATCGCATGGTAGTACTCTAGGACTTTTTTGCTTTAATTATTAGAATTTACCTTGTATTAGTGTGAGTTTGTTTGGTATAATGTATTTTTTACAGTTGAAAAAAGAATGTGACCCTGCTCCATTCCCGCCAAAGCGAGTCAGAAATTCCAATCCTAAGGTATTGGAGCACCGACGAGCCGCTCTAGAAATTTACATGCAGAAAATGCTAAGATATTCTAACACGAAGCATCATGTTCTTAATTTCTTAGGTATGAGTGGACAAAGTCCAGATTTATACCAGAAAGGGTATGTAGAATATTAATTTAAATTTCACACAATATTCGATTTCTACTGTAATTATTTATGATTTTATTCATTTTAGAATGCATCAACTATGCAAGAATGATTTAAATTTTCGAAATGATTTTCCAACACATCCAGTATTAACTTTTCTGTGTGATCCGTATATCCACGCAGACAAATCTTCAAGTCTTCCAGATATTGTTACAAACGGAGTACTACTGGGAATTTACAAATCTTAAAATATCATTCCTTTTTTAGAAAGTTTATATTGTAAGGGTTGTGCAAAAAAGTATACATAGTTATATAGGTTTTATATATTAAAAATAATCTTAATTGTGTTTAATATTAATTTATAATAAAATTAAAGAAGATTCAACTGAGTCTTTGGATCTAAGTAACAATTCTCAAAAACCCACAAACGAATTTTTTCAGATTTTATTATCATTTTTCTCAATCCGATTTTCAAATGATCTTGAAAATGATATGATATCGAAAAATCAACGCGGAATTTGGATTCAGCGTCCTAAGAAACGTAGATTCTACTATGTTTGGTCGATGGGCTAGAGCCCAGAACAGAAATTAAAAGGATCCTAGTAGAACCCTTATTCCTTCCTTACACGGAAGCTCTGAGATGGGTCCAAAATCGACTTTTGTCAATTTTAGTGTCTGGTATACTCCACCTACATATTCGTAAACTAGACCGGATTTGTGACTGATGTTTGTATGTATGTATGTATGTGTGTGTATGTGTTTTTTTTTAATGAGGAAGGAAGTCCATCTACGGATTCAACATGCGACATTGCCACTTCGCATGGATATTCAGACTGATGTAGTGTACTGATATGTTGTACTGTTGTTAAGTAGACTGATATGTATCTTTCTAGTAATACCGCGACTAAAACCTATCCTCTTTTCTCCTGCCCCTGTTCTTTCCCCGCTGAACCACCGCTAGGCATTACTTCGCGTGGAGAGGCTATCGCTTTGTATGATTTCATCCTGTACTGATGTTAGTAAATTCATGTCTGCTCTCGATCCCCGAGGCGACGTTGTGTATGATTCAGTGAGTCCACCGACCCTTCGTTGAGCACACTCATTGAGCCTGTCATTTCTCCGCAGTGTTCTGTCATGTTCCTTTTTTGTGGCATCTTCGCGACGACTCTCATAGATCCCCGACGTCGGGAAATATGCTGCAAAGGCCACAGATCGCACATAGATATATGCGCGTCGGTGAATGGACGCTGCCTGACAGACGTAACTTTGCGTCCTCACAACATCCTTCCATGTCTATCAGGCCCCATAAAAAAGAACCAAGTCGACGACACTGACGTAGAACCTGCGTCGGCTGTTCCTCGGGCCCCCAATATTGAGCATCAGGTCAAGCAGAGCTCCCGCCATCCGAGCGGGTTTGTCTCTGACGATTGCCAAGTGTTGATCGAAACGTAGTTTCGCATCGATTTATACACTAAGGTATAGGATGCAGAGAATCGATGTGATATCGCTGCAATCTCCGACTCTAAGGGTAATGTTCTCCTGCAGTTTCCTGGGCGAACTTCGGTTTTCTGATCGGTGTTTTGCAGTCTCAATTCACAGACTGCCGTTATTAAGATCATTCGTGTTAAAAAAAAAAATTCCTGATTTTGTAAAGGGTTGAAGTATGTTTCTTACATTTTTGAGTTAGTTATACTGGAAGATTAGCAGCAGAGCTACCAAGATAAAAAACATAAGGATTCACCGATTATTTTAAAAGTTACATTATGATGAAGAAAAATGTTTTTATCTTTATTTTTCAGAAATTTTAGTTTTCTTTCACATTCCAAATAAAATAGGAACGATAATTTTTTGTATGAGGAAGCTCTTTTCCTATGAATTGGCAGCGGTTTATTTTATGTGTGACTGCAATCTTTTAATAACCAGTCATAATGCTGTCTGGTTTATTATTGGTTCAAAATTTTAATACTTGAATTTAATTTTAAACACCAATATTTTCGATAGTTTAGTAATTAAAATGTTTGAAAAAAATCTACTTCGAAAAAATAAAAATCAAACTTTGACCCCAAAAACGGTTTTTTAAAATTCAATCTGGACTGTCCTATACAGAACATTTTAAAATTCGGAAAATAAAAGACACTCTAATATATAAAATGATGGGAAATTATGGTATTGACCAACCACTAGAATGGTATCAACCTTGATGATAAACCACGCTGACTGCCCTAAATTATATGTGAATTAACATCCGCTGTCCCTGCTTGCTTCATTCCATGTTCTTCATTTCTCGATTAAGGAGGCTGTAGCGAAATTGAAAAAATCTTTAGACCGGAGTGAAATTTTAACCACTGATAGTTCATGAAATTACAAGATTTTTGGTATAAAAAAATTGGGAGTTTCCATGTAAATTTGGGAAATAATGAAATTCAAAGTTTTGGCCATTTAACATTGAATCAAATGGGAAGTGGCAGTTGTTAGTGTACTGTGAGCTCAAATCTCTTTACAAGTTAATAAAATTAACATATGTTATAGGAAATTTCATGAGCTTTCGAATGATATAATTATAAATGGGTGTTTCCAGGCAAATAAAAAAGATAATTAAGAGTCCAACACTTTTTCCCCATGTTCTGGCATGCTAACGCTGTGCGCTGCGTAACGCATATAGCCTTGCACATGTAGCGCTTTAATACAAAACCACCTTGCATCGCTACAGCCTTCTTAAGTGCGGAGACCTTAATCATCGCTTTGTATTTTCAAATAAGATAAGGTTAAGTTTGGATGTTGCCGTGTATACTGTATAGTGTTTTGTATCAGTAAACAGTGTTTTATATCAGTTAACAGTTAATCAGTTAATTTTCATAATGGTACCATCAAACTTGACTTCAGGAGTCAAAAGTAGCTCATCAACTCTGGTATGAGATCAAAATATTAAATTTCAATCAGAAAATGAATATTTATCTTACTCTTTATTATTTTTGTTTCCAAATTAGGGAAAACTACACTTTCTACACACCCAGTTAAATTTGATTTTCTCTCTTCAATAAAATATGTATTTTAAATTCACATAAATTGATTCTGTATATTTTTATATTAATATGTTAATGAAGACACAATAACAAATGACTTCAATTTTCAAAAATCTAAATGACATTGAATACTGCTTAATACATAAATATTTTGTAGTGTATGATGAAAATTTATATTTTTCACATAAATCTTTTTATAGTTTTTTTATGTTGATAAACAATTTTACATATATTTGTTCATTAGTTGTTTTTTTTTTTTTTTTCATTGTTCTGAAATATAAATTTAATTTGCATTTAAAAAATCATCAATTACGATTTTAGTCAAACAGTTCATGGCGGCATAATAAAAAAAATATTTTTTTTTATAGAAACCAAACTATTTATTAAAATTTACGCTTGCTGGTCATACCAAAGCAGTATCATCAGTCAAATTCAGTCCCAATGGAGAATGGTTAGCGAGTTCATGTAAGTTTATAATTTTTTCAAAATATTAAATAAAAAAAACCATTCTAATATTGAATTTGGAAATTATAAAATTTTATTCTGTTATATAGCTGCGGATAAGCTGATTAAAATATGGGGTGCTTATGATGGAAAATTTGAAAAATCAATTGCTGGACACAAATTAGGTGTTTCAGATGTATCATGGTCTAGTGATAGCAGACTTCTGGTTTCAGCTTCTGATGATAAGACTCTCAAAGTTTGGGAACTTAGTTCGGTGTGTATTGGTCATTATAACTTATTATAAATTAGAATCTTGATTTGAATATTTATAATTATATAAATGAATTTTACAATACTTTAAAAAGTTAATTTATAGAATTAAAAAAAAGTAAAGTTGAATCAAAACTCATGATTATAGTATTTTTATAACTATAAAAAAATTTCAATGATCAAATTGTTGCAGCTCACGAGCTGATTTGTTGTAAAAAATTGTTAACTTCAATCAAAATTATGAAAGTTAAATTAATGCTACATAATTTATATTCTATTTATATCTTTCTTAATGCTTCAGGGAAAATGTTTAAAAACTCTAAAAGGACACAGTAACTATGTATTCTGCTGCAATTTTAATCCTCAATCGAACCTCATTGTGTCAGGATCAGTAAGTATGATTTTATCAAAAATTAAAAAAATTTTTTTTTATCCATACTTAAGATTTCTTTATGATTATAGTTTGATGAAAGTGTGAGAATATGGGATGTTAGAACTGGTAAATGTTTGAAAACATTACCAGCTCATTCAGATCCAGTGAGTGCTGTACATTTTAATAGAGATGGTTCCCTGATAGTGTCTAGCAGTTACGATGGTTTATGGTATAAAATAACTTTTTTTAATTTTATTGTTTACTTTCAATTCTCCAAAATAATATTTTAATATATATATCTATTTTTTACCAGTCGTATTTGGGATACATCATCCGGACAATGTTTAAAAACTCTCATAGATGATGATAATCCTCCAGTATCATTTGTTAAATTTTCACCAAATGGAAAATACATTCTGGCAGCTACTTTAGACAATACCTTAAAATTGTGGGATTACAGCAAAGGCAAATGTCTAAAAACATATACAGGACATAAAAATGAAAAATACTGTATTTTTGCCAACTTTTCTGTAACAGGAGGAAAAGTATGTATAATTTCAAAATGTGCAAGTTTTAATGAAATTAATTACATATATATATATACTTTTAACAAAAAACAATGATAAATTTTTTATTTTAGTGGATTGTATCAGGATCCGAAGATAATTTTGTATACATTTGGAATCTACAGACAAAAGAAATTGTTCAAAAATTACAAGGCCATACAGGTATTATTGATTCATTTATAAATTTAATCGATAAGTTAAAAAATAAAATTTTTATTTTTTGCTACTTACAATGGATTCTTCTTAATAACTTGAATAGAATATATTATAAGCAATTATTTAATCTAGGACTATTCAAGTGTTTATTTGCTAGTAATATAGTTGTTGCATTAATAGTATTTAAATTATGCTCTTGGAAAATGATGTATAAAAGTTATGAGTGTATAAAAGGTTCTTTAGATTTTGTGGGTAAATTAAGTATCATAGACGAATTAGTGCTCGTTACTTACTAATCCCTAATTCTAAAAATTCATTATAAAGAATATACTATGAAATGATCATTATCAAACACCAAAATTATTTAAATTTTAATTTATATAAGTAACTCATAGGAAAATTGATTAAAATTTAAAAATGTTGCTTTCAGATGTTGTTCTCTGTACTACTTGTCATCCTACAGATAATATCATTGCCTCTGCTGCTTTGGAAAATGACAAAACAATTAAAATATGGAAAAGTGATACATAAAATTAAGTGTTAGTGAACTAAATTAGTTTTAATAATAGTTAATTTTCTTCTGTACTTTGATTAAAAATTTTTATATAACTTCTGAATATTGATACATAATTTCAATAATTTAAGAAATATTAGTTTTTTATTTTTTTAAGTCATTATTAATTGTAAAAAACATAAGGTAGAAAATGCCAATTTTCAGTTAGATTATATTCTTCATAAGAATATTCACAGTATGGAACTCTTGAAATATAATTTTTTTTCTTGAAATAAATGGATGAAGTTTGTCTAATTTTTTTTTATTGACTTTGTTTGAATATGAACATATATGAATGCACTTTGGAGACAATCTTTTTTAACAACAAATGTGAAAAAATTTTTCAATCGAGACATCTGTATAAGAGCGAATTTAATTTTAATTTGTTAGGATTGAATACTTAAATATGGGTGGAGCTTAGCACTTGTCAAATAGTTTATTTACATAATTGCCAAATAAAGTATTTATTGAATTGTCACAATTTTTATAAAAATTTACTTTATTTTGATAAAACTTTCAGTTGGTATCAGTAAAATTGTGTCAAAGATTGTTCCACAGAGTGTAATGTTAAACAAATTTTAATTACGTTGCACATGAACTGATGCTATTTTTGTTTTAATTGTTCAGATGACATTCATGTTTGCAGACATTATATTGTCAAATTAACATCCAATTAGAGTCCAAAAACAAAATTAACTATTTTATAATATATGCTAAACTAAGCCTTGATTTATATATTTTAATTGATTAATTGATTGTATTTATGAAATCAAGATACTACAAAATAAATTGCTATATTATTTTTAAGATGTAAATAAAAACCAAAAATGAAAAAAAAGGGTATCAATGAAAAGTATGCTTTAAAAATCTTTGTTTGTTAAATACTTTGCGTTTTCCTCTTTTTTTTATATTAACACAATCATAATAAAAAATTTACATCATATAGAAAAATACTTGAAATGTAACACAATGTGAAAAATTTAGAAAAACTCAGAATTTCAATTATAAGCAAATTTTTATTAATTAGCAACATTCATCATTTTTTATTGTAATGTTAGAATAACAGTTATCACTAGATGTATCTTTCTCTTCTTTAAATGATTTTAAATCTCTTTTCATGGCATATGCATCTTCACCATCAGCATAATATTTTGGTTCAATTTCAGATACTTCAAAATCTAGACTGTTGGTGTACAAGTTTAGTGCAGCTCGATTACTTCTTCTAACATGTAGAGAAACATATTTAGCTTTAAAACACTCCACCATGGCTCTTGATGCTTGATTCATCAATTTTTGAGCTATTCCTAATCTTCTGTGAGATCTTTTAACAGCTAAACTAGTTATATGTCCATGAGGATTATCTTCACAATCTTCTTCCATTTTTGCCAATACATATCCTACGATTTGATTTCTTTCATCTTCAGCTACATAACTTAACTGTGGCCATGATAAAGCATGATATAAGTAATATTTCATTTGATAATTTTCAGGCAAACATTGTAAATTACAATGTTGAATGTTGAGTAAATCATTTGGGTTTGCACATCTAATATTAATTGACATTTTGGTACAGCTATTCTGAAAATGTAAAAAAGGTTATATTATTTATCCAACCTTATAAATCCAATAAAAATTTAAAAATTAAATTTCATCAAGAGAAAGAGAAAAACTGAATGCTATATGATGTATCTGCAGAGTTGAATCCAAGAAATTATTCACATGCTATTAAATGAAATTTATTTATCGAAAATAGTGGTTTTAATAGAAAGAATTGGAGAATATTACTCTCAAGTTATAATTACAGTTGTGTTTACAAACCTTTTTTGTTTTATTTAAAAATTCAATGCAGACATGCCTATGATCGAAGTTATGATAATTTTGTTAGTGATGCATGTTAAGACCAACTCACGAAAAAAGATAGAAAAAATACCGACTGAAGGTTTGATGTTTCTAGATGTGTGCGACGTATATATTTTTTCACTGGATTATGAAACGGAATGTGAACCATGTTTTCAATTTCAATTTGATTGATTCAGTTTGAGATTATTACAAGAGGGTGAAACATTTCAAGCAATAACTTGAAAAAAAACTCAAATTTTCAAAGAAATCTAAATTTTAATTTCTAGCTCTGCGACACGATTAAAAAAAAATCGAAAAGTGGTTCATTTTTTCAAGGAAATTACAGAATCGAAATATTTTTTGGAATAAAATTGGATAATAATAATATATTTATACATTTTCCTTATTCTGCAACAGCGTATCTTTTTCACAATGTTCCACTCCAAACTTGCAAATATTTTTGCATTAAAATTTTTATAGATATTTGAACATATGACGAAAATGATATAGTAAAATAGTTATTCAGTTAATTTTTTTATTAAGCGATAAAAGAAACCTATGATACAAGTTTTATTTCATATTCATTTTTTCGAAAGGACGAAAAATGAAACTCACACTATAGATTTCTGTTCCGTCACATCGATGAAAAGATGTTCCCAAAGGAATATTGAATAGTAATAATCTTATAGTGGCCCTTAGAGTGTATAGTTCGCGTTTAAAATTCAAAATGTAAATAAGTGGTCTTGAAAATTCGTTATTGTGTAATGAAATTTATGTCAAATGGATTTGACGAAGAATGATAATAATGATCATTTAAATGAGAGTGATATAACTTTTAAACAGTATGAGTTTCATAAAAGTCGACTAAAACGTTGGCAAAATGAATTTTTTAAACAGAACAAGAAAAAACCAGATAAGGTTAAAAAACTTATACAACATTTCATGTTAAATTAATACTATATTTACCTTTGAAAAAAATCTAGAAATAAATTTAAATAAACATAATTGAAACTTATGAATTCATCAATTCAGTTTGAAAGTTTTTTAATTTTTTTCATATTAATAGAAAGTTGAAAACAAATTTTAATTCAATTGGTAATTTTTTTTTAGAGCTATATTTAAAAGGTGTAGGTGATGTTCAGTAAACAACAAAAAATAAAAAAAAATATAGTCATAAGGTATCAATCAACAATATTTCATATTGTAAATAATTTTTTATGAATAATTTTTTTCTGAACCATACAATTATATGTAGTTTCATAGGCATGTAACTTTAATATTAACTAATTTTAAAAGCACATGAGTAAATATTTGTCAATGCCTACATGCAGTATACAATACAAAGTATAACATAATACAAAAGTTTGTTCAAGTTTACATCTAACATTAATTGTTATGAAATGTATCACAAATGAAAAATTATAGCTAATATATAAACAATTTTCGTTACATAAAATAGTTATTTTGCAAGAAAAAGTAATAAAACTTTTTAAATTGTGTATCATAAAATCTTTATAAAATGGCTTTCGCAAACACTAAGTTTTCATTTAAACATATTTTTTAACAACATCTTACAATCTTAATCGTCAATGGACATGACATTAACACAATAAAAATGAAGATATGGGCTTAGACATAGAGTACTAAATATTTCTTGGAAGAAAATTATTAGAATTGGAAATTTTTTAAAGTAAAATTATCCATTCTTTTTGATATTCTTAAAGCTTCATGAGAAAATCTCTAAATGACACTTATAATTTTAACAAAACTCTTTCAGTATTTTTTTCTATACACTTAGTCAAAGTTACTGATTTATTAGTAGAATTTACCAATAAATTGTAAAAAGCAAACTAAAAATTGAATTCGCTACCAATTTTCTGTAAATTTTTCTTACTATTTAAAACATAAAACTGCAGTAGACTTTAAAAAAAATATTGCACATTATACAATTACGATGAGTTATTGGTATTTAGTTAGTCAAATCAAAAGTCTTGAAAATAATTAATTCTGCATTGGCTCATCCACTGATGTTATTATTGTAAAAATGTTGATGCAGTATTATAAGGGCTGTCCATGTGTTGAGTATGTGCGACAATAATAACAATAGCACATGGTTTTGAATAGGCAGAGCCCCTACTTCACTAGATTTACGTTTTGTTGCTTGTTACCAAATTACAGCCATTAATGTGTACACTAAATGTAAAACGATTCGGTTCCTAGCAGAAAACGTAAACACAGCTTAATGGAAAACGCCTGTTTGCACAATATACGCCGATAAGCGTCAATGATAACAATTGTATTATGTATATGAGCGATTCCGTTATTTAGTTTCGGATTTTTTGACTAAAAACGGAACAATTTTTTTTTCCTTGGACGCATACTATGAACATTGGGTATTGTTCTTGAAGGTCATAGGAACGTAAAAAAAATGCGTGAACATGAAATTTAAAGATAGGTAATTTTTTTCTGGCTACTTTTGTGTTTTAGGGCCCGAAAAGTCATGTTTTCGCGTAAATACGACAATTCACTCAATTTCTAAGTGGCTGAAAAAGTATCAAAACTCATTTTAAAAAAGTGACTGATTACTTCATTCGATAGGAAATTTTCTCAGCTTTCCGATGGTGATATCAGATTGTTCGATACATTGCATATTCACCGAGAAAATCACCACCAAAGGTGCCGAGCTAAATATCTCGAAAAAATCAGTACGGAAAAAGTGCTTTTTATGGTTTATTTTTTATTTTTTCTTATGAAAATCGAATATTTCGGAAAATCTGATACTACAATCGGAAAGCATATCTTTATTTTTTTTCCGTCGAATTATGAGCGAGTTTTGATTGTAGCGAGCCGCACAACGCTGAAAACTTCGCGACCGCGATTAAACAGCTCGGGAACAGAAAACAGCGAACAAAGTAAAAGAAATTCGCTTGAATATCATTGTAATTCGACCAAAAAAATAAATGAAGATATGGTTTCGATTGGAAATTTTCTCAGATTTTTCATGGTAGTATCAGATTTTCCGAAATATTCAATTTTCGTAAGAAAAAATAAAAAATAAACCATAAAAAGCACTTTTTCCGTACTAATTTTTTCGAGATATTTAGCTCGGCATGTTTGGCGGTGATTTTCTCGGTGAATATGCAATGTATCGAAAAATCTGTTATCACCAACGGAAAGCTGAGAAAATTTCCTATCGAATGGAGTAATCAGTCACTTTTTTTGAATGGGTTTTGATACTTTTTTAGCCACTTAGAAATTGAGTGAATTGTCGTATTTTCGCGAAAACATGACTTTTCGGGCCCTAAAACATAAAAGTAGCCAGAAAAAAATTACCTATCTTTAAATTTCATGGTCACGCATTTTTTCAGCTTCCTATGACCGTCAAGAACAATACCCAATGTTCATAGTATGCGTCCAACAAAAAAAATTGTTTCCTTTTTTAGTCAAAAAATTCGACACTAAATTCCGGAATTGCTCATATAGGCTAACATAGGTGGAGCCCCTAATTCGCTTTGATTACTCATTAACCTAAAAATTTTTTATAGCACTGCGTGGCTAAAGTTCACGTTTAAGGCACGCTTTGCCGTGACTTAAGCTGCTCATTATTGCACCGCGGCGTGCCTATCGCACTCGCTACGCTCGTGCGCTAACCTCACACCGCAACGCTATTATGAGCACCTTATATCTCGCCAAAGGGGGCCTAAACTTGAATTTAGCACAGTGCTATAAAAAAACGTATGATACTTATGACTCAAGTAGCCCATTCTTAACACGGCACTAGCACCCTCGCTTCGCTCGGGTGCTAACCGTGCCGTGCAATAATGGCCTGCTTAAGTCACACGTATCATAATATACTATTATTAAATCTTTGGGTAGGATTTTTCTTCCCTTTTCCATTGAATTCTTTAGAACTGTAAAATGTTCATTTTTCACTAAGATACAAGTGTTTCTGTGAGCCATTTTCGTATAATTTACGTGTTCAATATTTTCTATATTTACGTTTTCTGGCGAGTCGTGTTTTTGTTCACCTGTCGTAATTTTCAAAGGGTACCGATTGAGCTTCAGAACATAAATGCTTACAGCCATTACCATGGGTGGGACGATTACTTAACTGTTCATGCAGAGCAATCTGTGTGTTCGATCGTCTCACTCGAGGTAGTGGCCATAAGGATTGATGTTCTGAATTACGACAAGTAACCAAAAACATAACTTGCCACATAAAGCAAAAAAAGAAAAAATTTTGCACGTAAAGTATAAAAAAAAAGCTCATGGAAACAGATGTATCTTGACAAAAAAGCAAAATTTTGGAGTTTTGAAAAATGCAATAGAAAGAAAACAAAAAATCCTATCAAAAAATTTAATAAAAAAATTTATGTTTTAACCCTTAAGTTAGCTGGCTTGTCGTGTGCTAACCCTAAAAAGTGTGAAAAAGAGCCGAAAAATTCGTATTTTTGCGTTTTTTATCCAAAAAATATTAAGAAAATGACTGGCTACTTCTATTGTGCAGCTCGGTTTTGGAAAGAAGAGAACTTTCTCTACAATTTGTTTGAAGGCTAACCTCCGTATTCGCGGGTGTTCTGTCGAGTCCTGTTTTTCATCAACCATCGTAACTTTCAGAGCGCACCGATTGAGTTACCGCGCCCCTGGTGACGTGCACTTTATCAGAACATCAGTGGTCACAAATACAATCCCGAGTGAGACGATCCGACCCAACAGTCATCCTATACAAACTCTCAAGCACGATTTACTTTTCATTTCACCTGGTCCGGTGTAACTCAATTCTACTCTGTCTCAACGTTGAAATATATTATAAAAAAAAATTATATTATGTATATTTTCATCTGTTACAGAATGATGTCAAGTTTGCGGGTGAAGATATTGAAAATTCCTTCAATGTTTATACGAGATATAAAATGTTGTTAGCACAAAATAAATATGATTCTAAAAGTGCCAATAATTCTCTATCTATCCAGCAACCATCTTCTGGTGCGATATGGAATGATTCATTAAAATTAAAACCGAAGATTCAAGAAGTTGCAAAGGCTAATTTAAAAAAAAAATCAGATTCTCCTATTTCGTTAAAGCCTCCTAAAAAAATCAATAGTTTTAGAAATTATGTAAAAAATGATATTCATACTTCTAGAACTAAATCTTCTGAGGATATCCATAATATAAAACTGCAGATTGATGATAATTCTTTTGAGATTAATTCGCCCACATTGAAAAATACTTCGCTCAAAGTAATATCCACCGAAAACACAAATACGACGCTAATTCAACGATTTAATACAACTCAACAAATCACGAATAAATGCCTGAAAGCGTCTTTTGATTCAACCATTACTTTTCATACAAACGAAAATACGTATGAAAATAATAAGGTAACAGGTAAAATGTCTTTCAAAACGTCAGATGAACTTAGTTCATTAATGGACACCGAAGATGATCTTCAACAGTGTAATAGTATAAGCAACAATAAAAGGCCTCGGCCTGGGGATGATTCATATGATAATTACGTTGAACAACCGTCAAAGAAAATTGCCTTAGAAATCACAGCAATTTCACTAGAAAATAATGATGATAAAGTTCTGAAGAATTCCTTAAAGAAGAAACCTATTTTGGGCGATGGAGAAAATTCAGCTGCTTGTACTTCGAAAATGAATGATTGGGAAAAAGTACCTGGTTTAGAATTGTCAACAAAAAAATTTAATTTATCTGAAAATTTGAATAGTAATGGTTTGTTAATTAATGGACAGCCAAATAATTCAAAGCCGAGCAATAATGCAAAAACTAATTCAGATGATTTTAATCTTACTGTACACTCAAATCATATTTCAGCGACTGATGACAATTTATGCCCTTTTATATCCAATAAAAAATATGATTCACCTTATGACCGACCCAAAGGTAAAAATGATAATTTCATTAAAGTCAATTTAAAGAAAAAAAAATATTCTGGAGGTAAAAAACCTTTTAATTATGCGACATTTAAAAATAAACAATGGAAACAGAATAGAGATAAATCAATAAAATTCGATTCATACAATTCATGTTCGAATTCAAAAAGTCTGAAGAGAACTCAAGAAAATTTTGAATTAACTGAATTAGAAAATTTACTCAATAATGACAGTAATTCAATTTACGAAGAAAATTTAATTGACCAGGTGATTATAAGTTTTAATTATTTTTTAATAATTATAATTCAATTAATTATGCAATTAAATATCCAGTAACAGGTCGAACTCTAGACTATCCCTTCATAAATAGTTTATTACTGCTCTAAGCCAGGAAAAACAGAAAAGTCCCAGAGCACGTGAAATAAGCATTAGCGTGGTGCTTTCTTTTTCTTTTATAGGCCAGTACGCTATTTTACATATCCAGTGGCCCGAAAATATTAATATCCCGTTTAGCGCAGCGGCCGGGAAATGTTACTTTCGGGCCGCTGGTATGTACAAATCTTTACTACTCTTTTTCATACTAAAAACTTGTCACAAAAGTCCTTGTTCATTCAGTCGGCTTTTTTTTTATAATTTCTCGATTTTATTGATATAAAAATAAAATAATAATATACATTAACAGGGCATTATTTCAAAAGTGAGTGATTATGAATGAATGAGCAGTACTATATTGCAAAAACGGAAAAACATACGATCTTATATTTTAAGTTCATCTTTCTGTGAGTTGTCGGGGTCAGCATTTATTGGGCTACTTGTTGACTATTGTTTTCAAACTTGCATCGCGTATTAGTACAATTTGCGTATTATAATAATTTAATATAATTTTATTATTATTTAATTGATTGGATTGTTTTACATTCGCCTCGTAGCGGAAATATATCAAAGGTCAAGAAGTACCAATCAAACGTAGATAGAATAAAGAAATACTGTTGTGAATATTTTTAATTACAAAAAGAGTAGGTAACATTTTTTATGAAAGATATTCTTTAATTATTGACATCTTAATTTATAAATAATAACTACAAAAGCACTGCATATAAGTTGAATTAAATGTTCAGTTAAGACCATCATAAGTTTTGTGTTGTCAAGTATAAGTACTGCTACTATCATGTGATTTTATTTAAAAAAATGAAGATTCTCTGTTGAAAAAAATAGTGGATTTTCATTTGGATTTTTACCTAGAAATCCATATGGAAATCAGCATCTAGTGGAGTGAATCTCCATACAGATTTTCAAATAGATTTTCAGGTCGAAAATAGTAGATTACGCAACGACTGCGGAAAGTAGGTGTTCAGTTGAGTATACTATTTTTTGATACAGCGTGCGGAAAGTTCGTTTTTCCGCTCGCTTACGAACTTTCCGCACGCTGTAGCCACGACAACGGGATCCTTTACTTTCGAAGCATCCTACTGACTTCGAAAAACGAACTTTCCACATGCAGTATCAAAAATTTATATTCCCGTACTGTTGAAAAAAATAGTAGATTTCGATATGGACTTTGGCCTGAAAATCCGTATGGAACCGACACATACATCCACATGGAATTTCAAGTGAATAATGAGCAAAAAATCGACGTAAATTTTTAGACTTGGAAATTCAAATTTTTTTATGGAATTCACTCCACTCTATATCGATTTCCTTATATATTTCAGACCACAATCTACAAGGAAATCCACTACAATTTTTAACAGGATTATAAATCATGATATACTTAAAAATTAATAAAATTTAAACTTGTTTTCATATACTCCTAATAATAAAATGTATGTTTTCAGAAATTTTCAAATAATATACTAGACGAAGAGACAGTAAAACTCACCCAAAATGATTCAGTTCAAATTAAACCCTATTTTGAACTTGAACAAAATGGAAAAATTCCTGGTAATGTAAAATTTATATATTTCATTATTAATAGGCTAATCGAAGTAATCGATTGTACAATATTCGTGTATTAATCAAGAAAATTGCTCATAAACCCTGAAAATATCCGAATAACTTGAAATCTATATGAATCTTGATTTGTTTTTGATAATTTTTTGCCACCTTTGTTCTGAGGTATTCTGATACAGTTGCTTCATCAAATGATAATCAATTTTTCACTTTCGTTCTCTCTTTTTGTCATTGCCATAAAAATGTGTAAAACGTAAATTCTACAGGAAAATGATATTTTTATAACCGAAAAATCCTCCAAAAACGCTGAAAAATTCCTACCCGGACATTTACTAATTTTAAACTTTTTTCGTTTATGGATTTTTTTGGCAAGTTCTTTTTCATGGAATGTTTTTTATCATTTTCATCATTATATATATTTAATTTTCACGATTATTTATATCTTTATTTACTATGTAAAAAATTAGCACTGCTACTTTTTAAAAGATACTGCTGTAACTTCAGAATAAAGGGTTCTCATTACAGATGGACAAATACCGACATACTGATATTATTTTGTACCAAATAGGCAACCATTAAACTTGAAATTTCGTGGGAGTGATTATGAAACTTATATAATGTGCCTATGTCATTAGATTTCAATAAACTGTTTAAGAAAAGCATTTTAAACATGTGTTTGAGAATCTGTTACTTTTTAGTTTATAAAAGGGGGATAATTGAAAATCAAGTTTGTTCAAAAGTATAGGTCATTTAATTGAAAACTAACGACATAGGCAAATTTTTATAAGTTTCATAATCATTTTCACGAAATTTCAAGTTTAATGGTTGCCTAGAAAATAAAAAAAATGGGTACAAAATTATTATGTATTTGTTATCGACTGAGTGTGTATAAAGACCCTTTAAGGGCATGAATTTTGATAAAAATAAAGTCTTTTTTTACCGAATCTCCAGTGTCTAAAGGTTTACGACATGTTTTAAAAGGGTACGACAGTATTCAAAAGTAAAGCAAAAAAATGATCATCCAACAAGAATTTCATGAGTAAATGAATTTTAAAATATTAAATTGATCATGGTGACTTTTATGTTTCAGATACTCCGAAAGAAATATTTGAATCATTACATTTGTTCGGTTATGAAAGTTTTCGTCCAGGTCAAGAAAAAGCTATTATGAACATACTTTCCGGCTCATCAACTTTGATCATTTCTCACACGGGAAGTGGAAAATCGTTCTGCTATCAGTTGCCTGCGTTCATTTATTCTAAACGATCAAAATGTTTAACCCTAGTTATATCACCACTTTTATCATTGATAGATGATCAACTAGCAAATCTTCCCAAATTCTTATCTGCAGCAAGTTATAGCTCCAACCTTAGTTCCGCAAAACGTAAAAAAGTCTTAAAGGATTTAAAAGATTGTAAAATAGATGTTTTATTTGTTTCTCCTGAAACAATTGCAGCGAATGGCTGTGCTACTTATTTTATAAAATATATTCAATCCGTAGCAACTATATCTTTTGTTTGTATAGACGAAGTTCATTGTCTTTCACAATGGTCGCATAATTTTAGGCCATCTTATTTAATTGTTTGCAATGTTTTAAAAGAAGTTCTTGGTGTCAATCGTTTTATGGGAATAACTGCTACCGCCAGCTCTTCTATAATCGCAGAATTGACAACTTTATTTGAGATAAAAGATAATAATGCTGGAGTAATATTGCATAGCTCTTTTCCAAGTAATTTAACATTAACGATTTCAAAAGATATTCAAAAAGAAGATGCATTAATCAAATTTGTGAAACACAGATTGAAAGAACAACATAACTCCATGATAGTATACTGTACTCGGAGAGAAGATTGTTTTAAAATTTCAAATGTGTTGCGAACGTCACTAAGGCAGGCCTCATTCATCGAAAATAAGTTGATATCAAATATTGCTGAACCTTACCATGCTGGACTTACCGCACAAAAAAGAAGATCTGTACAAACCGCTTTCATGAAAGGTGAAATTCCTATCATAGTTGCTACTGTGGCATTTGGAATGGGAATCAATAAGCCAGACATAAGATCAGTGATCCATTATAATATGCCATCTAGTTTAGAAAACTATGTACAAGAAGTCGGGCGGGCTGGTAGAGACGGAAAACCGGCCTTTTGTCACATGTTCTTATCTCCCGAGGTTAGAAAAATGATATTAAATATATAGTTAACTTATTGATACTGTACTAAAACTCTTTCCCGTGAAATTTATATCGTCACAAACGCGAGTAATAAATAACTGATCTTAATCTAACTTAACTTGAAACATGGAAACACAACGTGTGAATTAGACCTTAGCTTCTAAATTAACAAAACAACCTTTCCGATTTCGGATTCTAGATTAGTATTTGTCGGAATCAATTTGTAATTAAAAAGTGTACTGACATAAAACAAGTAGATACAGCCCCCGAAATTATAATTTATTTTTTCTTTGAAATACTAAGCTAACTCAATTTGTTTTTTAAATCATAATGAAAAAACTGAATTTTCTCTACAGGAAGTCTATAATTTAATTTTCGCCTTCCTAGTAAGAGCACATGTGACTGTTTTTAACTTTGCGATCCGACTGTGCGGCCACGAATGTTGTTGAGGTGGTTCGGTTCCATCCCGCAAATGTTACATGACGAATTTTGCCCGTTTGCTTTCGCCAACTCCTTCGGAAATACTACTCTGCGTGGTTAACGTGAACCTTCTCCGATACTTGCCCCCAGCCCTAACTACCTCTCTTTTTCGCGATCGCTACGTGTATTCTTCGTTTATCTCTCTCGAGCTTCCCCATCATAATACGCTCTAGATCTTCCTGGTTTCTTCGTAATTCTTTTTGATTAGCGTCGTCCATTGACCTCTAAGGTCTCTGCACGATACACTAACTCATCCTGTTACCCACTCAATACTGGGTTACCGACAAAATCTCCAGGACATAATTTCCCGGGAAAAAAACAGGCACGAAAAAACACTATCACGCATCCCAACACACTATCACGCATCCCAAACACACTATCACGCATCCCAAACACACTTATACACATACCAATCCCACTATCATGCATTCCAATACACTATCACGCATCCAAAACACACTTATACACATACCAAAAAAATGTAATAAATAGAAAAATATAAAATAAAATTCAGCTGAGATTTTGTCCCCGGAGATTATGTCATGGAGATTTAGTCGAGGAGATTGTGTCGCGGGAGATTTTGTCAGCGGAGATTTTGTCGCGCTCCCCTCAATACTACCGCCACCACTCATTCCATTGATCGGGCTCACCATTTCTACTTATCGCACCCCTGATGTGTTCCGCGTTGCATTCATTAGACTTCTATTGTCAGACGCGTCCTCCATGGTGATCCGACGGAAGTTTGATAACTGGATGATACAAATTTTTTCTCTCGAAAAATTATTATGTAAAAACGACATTTTTAATTTTTTGCAATTTTTATTATTTTTTTTAAGTAGCTGAAATTAAGGTGACCATAAATAAGTTTCCCACCTCTTGTTTAAAACTGCTTCTCCCTCTTAACGGCATGAGTTGTTTGGGCATTTCAATAAGGATGGTTAAAATTATATGAACTTTTCTTACGCCATATATACGTGAAGCACATACAAAAAATTTCCCTTGATTATTAATTAATGAGCTGATACTCCTTGTATTTCTTTCAAGAATAGTTGCAAGATAGTATCAGCTGATTGAATACCAGTGCGTTGAATCACAAAACACATTCTCTATTTGAGTTTCTAAGTGGAATTTATATTAAATCTTTTAAATTTTTTTTTGAGCGCTTCAAATGATTTTAATTTTCTAATTTTTTCAGCTTAAAATTAATGAACAAGAGATTTTGCGTCATATTTTTGCGAATGTTATCAATAAACAAAGTGTAAAATATTTAGTACAAAAAGTTTTTACTACACATACGTGTGACTGTTCGACTGAGATTTGTCGTGGACATGAAGTTATATTTTCTATTGAAGACACCATATTAACATTGGATCTATCTGAAGAAATGATTGTCACTCTCTTATGTTATATGCAGATTTATTTTCGTAAATATATAAATTTACTACCTCAAGCATTCATGTATGCCACTGTCAAAAGTAAAAGTGGATATCAAGCTATACAACTAGCACAGAAAAAAGTGAGTAGATGTTTTATACTTTATAACACATAGTCATTTATGGTTTATGCATTGAACTGATTTGGACCCAATGCCCCTTAAGGGGACCGACCTGTCTTAAAAGCTTAAATTCAAAAAATCGCTATATAAATTGAAATATTGGAAATTTTTTTTTGTGATCGTAAAATATGTTTATTAGACACCTGATTGACCAAAAAAAACTTCTATCCAAGCTCTGAAATGCCAATTACGCTTATTTTTTCATAATACTTAATATTATAATAGGATTCACTTGCCACGTGATTCTGACGTGAGCTTCCCTTATAAAAATTTCCAATAGGATCCCGCGAAATTCCTATTGGAATCCTATAGGACTCCTGTAGGAATTTCGCGAGATCCTATAGGAAATTTTTTAAGGGTTTTCATCAATATTGATCTATGGGGTCTCAAAATCTTCAGAAAAGTACCCTAATCCACTTAAGCGGAGCAGAATTTGAAAAAAAAAGTTTGTTTTTCTTCCAAGAGCTTTAATATGGCTTCTAGTGTTGATAAAATACTAATTTTCTCAAAAATTGGCACATTTTGACGTGTATGTAAAGTTGTACGCAATTTTTCAAAATTCGGCTCCGCTTAGGTGGACGAGAGTACTTTTCTGAAGATTTTGAGACCCCATAGGTCAATATTGATGAAAAACTCTTTTCAAGATCATGCAGCAAGTGATTTATTACACAATATTTCGTCTTATGAAAAAAGTGATGTAATTGGTATTTCAGAGCTTGGGTAGAAGTTGTTTTTGGTCAATCTGGTGTAGAATGAACATATTTAACTATCAAAAAAAAAAATTTCGATTATTTCGATTCATATAGCTATTTTTAGCTGAAGCTGAATTTAAGCTTTTAACACAGGTCGGTCCCCTTAAAATAAAATAAAATTGATTTTCATGCATTATTCGCAGTTATTGGTATGATTACCCAGTTGAAAAAAAATTGCGCTGATGTCCACGTGGATCATACAGGGATTCCTGGGCTTGAACCGGTGATCTGTCGGTTACAGTCCAGCTCCCTACCACTTGAGCTATTCATTGATTATACAAAAGCTATCGAAGCAGTTATATTAATGAGAAGTGTGTATGCATTTTTTTCAAGTTCTTTTAATATCATATTATATTTATAGTACCACAAAAGAAAAACTATTTGTAATTCTATAATTTGTAATTCTGGATGGGTACTAGGTTGCAGGGACGGACCGGGATAGAATTTTTCTTCGGGAGTTTTATAAGGTGCGGCCCTGGCCGTGAGCGGCCCACCGGGATTTCTCCCAAATTCCCTATGGCCAGTCCGGCCGGGTAAGCTGGGTACTTACTCTTATTAGCTAGTTCGTCTATAACGCTATCCACTTCGATTTGCTCTAAAATATCGCTCTCCACAGCCATGAGCATGAAAGTCTCCAATTTATCTTGGTTCATTTTACTCCTAAGCCTAGTTTTAATATTTTTTAAGTAATTGAAGCTTCTTTCGCATGCAACTTGAGTAAAAGATAAAGTTAACATATATCTATATGCAATACTAATATTTGGGAAACTTCCCGTTAACATATTATATTTTTTTAGTAATTTATACGCACATATGCAACAGTTCTTACATGACTCATGTTTTTTTTATTTACACTGTCCGTTAAGATTAAAACCTCTTCTTCCTCATCCTCGTCCTCCTCGCCGCATACTGTATTCATCTCATACTCTTCGAGTGAAGATGATTGTATCACATTCCAATTTTGACAGCTCTAACCTGAGGTTTTCAGCTATTGTAATAACATCAAAAGTTGAATAAAAAGGCAATAATTTTTCCGCGAGAGTTTCAAGAGCTGGAGATTTTAATCCTTTTTCTACAATTATTTCAAATTCACGCGGATCTAGTAAACATAGGTCTGCATAAAAGGTGTTATTTAAAATGTCGAAGCGCTCGCTCATTGCGCTTATTGCATTATCGATGATTACATTGAAAGTTTTAATCCGATATTTATCTTCGGGATCTTCAATAATGTGATCGTGGATTTTTTTTCCATCCATGCGTTTTTTTCTTCTAGGTCTAAGATGCGAAAAGGTAGTTTCTATGGTGGACTTTGCGTCCCGCTCTTCCAATTCTTGATTTGCCCATTTGATAAATTGATCGGCTTCTTCTTTAATTGTTTTGAATTCATCGCGTATTTTTTCAACATTTTTTACAGTCGACTTGACCATATTGAAGGCTTTTAAAATATCTAAACTATCAGTTTGTAAATATTTAGACAAGTGCGTTGTTTGATCAAATAAGGCACGTAAAACAAACGCTGTCAAAATTGACTCGTATTTTAAAAATGCTTCTCTAAAGGCCTTGGCACTTGAGCGATCATCTGGTTTCGTTTTGGAATTTGCTTCCGTAGCTTCAAATATGATCAAAAGATCCACAAGCAATGAGTTTTCCTTATGTCCACTAGTACCAAAAATTTTCACCAGTGCTGCATCTTTTGCCCACCATCTTGTTTCGCCGATCAAATTGAGTCTTCATCTATCTTTTTCAGCCAAAATCGACTCCCAAATCTCCATCCTCACATACGACTCTTTCAAAAATGCAGCAGTTTTATTCAGTAATCCGAAGAGCGAAACGCAAAAAATTGACTCACTTATTGTATCAGATATTACTAAATTTAAAATGTGAGCGTAACACCACACACGTACGGATAAAAGAATTTCTGCTGCAAGCCAAGCTTGAAATCCTTTATACTCCCCCCTCATATTCGAGGCTCCATCAGTAGAGCTTCCTATACATTTTTTAAAATCAATGTTGTTTGATACTAGTTCTTTTATCACAAGATTTTTAATGCTTTCACCAGATGAGTCTGTACATTGCACAACGCCCAACAACCTTTCAATTGGTTGATCAGTATTCAAATAACGAAGAATTATCGAGCATTGATCTTTCGACGTAATGTCTTGGGTACTATCTACTTGGATTGAGAACATTTCGGACTTATTTGTTTCTTTTGCGATAATGGCTTTTAAAAATTTGTTAATGATTGTGAGGATGTTATTAACTGTAGTTTTGGAAATCATCGTCACGAAGATCCCTCGTCCTATTTTTCCAGGTGGCTTTGATATTTTTTTTTTTTGCTAATTTCATAGCACTGATCTATGTGGCTTTTTAATGATGGAAAATATTTCGAAACTAACATCAAAATATTCAAGAAGTTATCATTATTATCTCCATTATGTAGACTCCAAGCGGCTTCGTTTTTATTCTCTCTATATGACAATTGGTTTTTTCCTACAGATTTAAAAAGTAATAAATTATGTTATTCATTAAAAACAAAACAGAATAGAAATTTGGACCACTATATTTACCAACTATCTTTAATACGTCAAAAACACTCTCGATTATTTTCTGGTTAGCTAAAACCTCCTCACGCCGCTTGTCGTTTAAATTTTTAAAAATCATAACTGATACATTCGCTTCTTTTTGCTGAAGAATGTATGCCTCGACGCAGTTCTTATGAATTAGGCTTTTCTCGTGTTCATCAACTCTTGTATAAATGCGTTTTCGATCAGTGAAGCCTCTTGTAAAACTGTTGTTTTCATTTACGTTTGCAAAAGCTAGGCAAACAAAGCAATATAATACATTATTTTTTCCATCGTAAGTAGGCCAAAGTATCTGTGACCCATCAGCGTAATTGAACATTTTTTCGATTACATTATCTGTCGTACATTTTTGAGGATGATATTAAAGGAACTTTTTAAGATCTTGCGCATTAGGTTTACTAAAATAATTGAATTCTTCAGTATCAGTTTTTTCAGAATCATCTTCTTCAATGACATCTAGATTCGACAGATTTTTATCATTGTCTTTTTCAATCGCTCGGGCAGTTTTTGGAAATTGATCTTGATTGTTTTCTATAAAATTAATTTGCGAGATTTGACTCGTAGTCAAATCAATTGCTTCATTAATCTGCACTTCACTAATGCGATGCTTTTGCTTAGTCGATGTAACTGAGTTATTTTGAGAAAAATATTCTTCTATGTTACGGTTTTTATTCGCTGCACTAAACATCATTTTCAAATTCTTCTCTCTTGTTTTCTCTGCACCACCTTTTTCTTTTTTTCTAATAACTTTTGATCTGGGAAGCATTTTCGATTAAAATTATTAGCACTAGACAAACAATGAGATGACAAACAGTGAAACGTACAGCACACTCACTTCTACACAAAAATAAACGGGTAACGGCGCGGCGCATAGCAGTGTTGACTACTTAATGTTTGCGCTATTGTATTATTTTGAAATGTTGGGTGGCAGCGCAGCACGATTCATGTATAGCCGTAGTTCGCGGTTTTCCCATTCTCCGCAGAAAGCAGCAGATCGCTTCATTCAGTCGTTAGTGCGCATCATCGATACCGCGCGCGATTTTTTTCTCTCAGTTGTTTCTTATCGATGCGACAGCAGTGCGTGCGTTCGCGAGTTGCCGCCGTTTGCCCTTTCTCTTTTCTATTTATGATTTTACCTATCGACTACTAAAGCGTCCCAAAAAATCGTTCTAGGTGGCGGTTTCGCTGACGGCCCACCGGGAAAATTCCCAAATTCCCTATAGCCAGTCCGTCCCTGCTAGGTTGGGATCCGGACTCGGCAGATAACTTTCTTCGGGTAGTCGTTATCGCAAAGTTCAGTTCTGACCTGGAGCCAAAAATAGGCTACCCGGATGATATTCTCACACGGAAAATTTAACTACCTGAAAACGATTTGGCATGATTTTCACCTGGTAATTTACTTTATGATCGATCCACGTGGAATCCCTGTACGATCCACGTGGATTACTAATGTTCGTGGATTTCCACGTGGATATCCATGCAATTATTTTCAACTGGGTATAATATATATAAACCTAGATGAAACTCAGCGTTTTATGAAAATATTAAACGATTAACATGTTTACATTTTTATCCTAATTTCGGTGACTTCATAATATAGTTCTTTAGCGTCACCTTGAATATCGATTCTATTTTTACCTCTAAACCCTTCCGTAATTAGCTACCTGGAAAATTTTTTAAGATTTTTTATGATCCAGAGACGAAACCAAAGTTGGCCGAGTGCAGAATTACTCCAGCGGCCCTTGAAAAAATTTCCTGTAGGATCCGGCGAAATATCTACAGGAGTCCTACAGGATTCTGAAATTATAAAAATTAGTAGTACTTTTTATGCATTTGCTTATTTTATTTTTATTATTTTTTCCAGTCTTCATCATTATCTGCAGCTATCAACCAAATGAAGGTTTATAAAAATTATACGGAAAATATATCTGAAATTAAGATACCTATTCTTCAAATAGCACGTTCCCTCGGGTGGACATTTCAAAAAATCATTCAAGATCTGAAAAGATTGGAATTTGAAACAGGTAAGAAGACAAAAGAAAGTTATGATAATGTCAAGTAATTTACAATGAAGATCCCGCATGAGATGCGGATCACTAAATGTCCTGAAGTTTTTTTGATGTTTATTGGCACATATTAATGAATCTGCAGAAAAGTACCTTCATCCAAAAATCTGGATCCAAAAATCAAAAGTTTGTTTCTCTTCCAAGAGCTTAAATATGGCTTCTAGTATTGATAAAATATTAATTTTCTTAAAAATTGGCACATTTTGACGTGCATATAAAGTTGTAAGCAATTTTTCAAAATTCTGCTCCGCTTAGGTGGTTGAGGGTACTTTTCTGAAGATTTTGAGACCCCATTGACCAATGTTGATGAAAAACTCTTTTCAAGATCATATGGCAAGTGATTTATAACACAATATTTCGTCTTATGAAAAAAGTGATGTAATTGGTATTTTAGAGCTTGGGTAGGAGATTTTTTTGGTCAATATGGTGTAGAATGAACATATTTTACTATCACAAAAAAAATTTCCACTATTTCGATTTATATAGCTATTTTTAGCTGAAGCTGAATTTAAGCTTTTAATACAGGTCAGTCCTCTTAACTTAAAAATGTGTAAGTAGTTTAATATAATGTACCAAGATAGTAGGAATTAGTATCAAACCAGGTTGAAATATTATTATAAAAAAGCACGTTTTTTCAATTTAGCTTCAATTAAAATTAATATTATTCTTAAAAATGATAGACAGGCCCCATTGAATTAAATTAATCGTAATGGAATTCAACATTATGTGCCAGTAGATCCCATATTAATTTCCAGAACATTTCATGACCCGTATCTGAAGTGGTCTCCTCGTTGGTATAAGTAAACACGGAATAATCAGTTCTCTTTTCACATAACTTGCCTTCTAGCATCTTTTGTTGCGACAGAGAAGTATGCAATTTTTAATTTCAAATTATTTATCCAAATATGTAATTTTCTATTTAAAGCTATCACAAAATCTGGACTACCATCTTTATCTGTTGAATTTAATACGCTTGGATTTCACATGAAAGTATATGGAAATTTATCAGAAGATGTATTAAATGAAATAGTTGCAACTTTAATGAAACAGAATATAATGCAAAAAAACCTTCGTCTTCAAAAACTTGAATCTATTTCTTCCATAAGCCAAAAATTGAGTTTTGAAACTGTAGATCAGTGCATGGCAGTATCTGAGGATGTACAGATGAAGTCAGTTGAGTTGAGAAAATCTATTCAAACTTATTTCCAAGAAAATGTTATGAAAACCGATGGAATTACAAATCACGTAAGTCATAATTAATAACTGATTCGTACATATTTTAAAAAGCAGAATATAATTATGAGTCAAAATTGATAGGTCTGTTTTTTAGAGTGTTAGACAGAAAAAGTTATTTTGTCACGCAATTCAAGTATTAGGCGTATTTGAGCATTTACAGTTTGTGGGCGTTGGTTGCGCTCAGTGTGCAGGCGATGTGAATGTGAAAAGCGTGTGTATTAGTCTGATTCGAAAAAATCGAATGTCTACAGAACTTCGATATCTTAATGTCTTTATTATCACTAAAAATGAAAATTCTGTAAATTTAAGCTCTAAATATTAAAGAAAATTCGACAATTCATTTTCAGTCCGTATAGACAGAAAAAGAGACAAAATTTAAGTTTACTTTTTTGGTGTAACTTATCCAAAATTTGGGCCTAGTAGCTCCAATAAATTCCTCGGAATATGATTAAGAGTGAGAAAAAACTTGGTTTTTCGATAACTCGAAGCCGAATTACTCAATTTTGAGCTACAAAACCGCATTCCACAAAAGCAAATGTACCTACGTAAAATTGAAGGGCTTTTTGAAATCTGAATACTGAATTAGAAAGGTGAGACTAAAACCTATCAAACAGTTCCTTGAAATTTTTTCCGCAGGTAATCATAGTGGGGTGTTTTCTTGGAAAAAGAATACACTTTTCTCGAATTAAGAAAAACCAGATTTTAAAAATTGCTTATAACACCCGAATCAAAGCATCAATCTCAATTTGCCGCTGGATTCAGAAAAATACTCTCATCGTTGTTAAATCTTTTTGACATAGGCTCAAAAATGTGTAGACAAAAAGTGGATTATCGAATCAGTTTTGAATTGAAAATCAAAATGCTCCTTAAGCGACCTCTAAAACTTAATATTTAGAGCTGAACTTTACAGGAATTTTACTTTGAGTGATATTGAAGACATTACGATAGGAAAATGAAGGTTTTAAAGAATTTTGATTTTTTCGAATTAATCTAGTGTCTATGTGTGCGTTTGAAAGTGGTACCAGATATAAAAAATCATGCCTGAATAAAGCACACCAGCGCGACTCTGCTCTTTTAAGTTTCGTTGCTATTATCCTATTAACAAAAAGGTGCTTGACTCTATAGAGAGTTTCTGCAACATTATCACCAAGCAATTTTAATTAATTTTTCTTATTTTATTGCAGACGACACTAACTGATGCAGAGAATATCAAAAAAAGTATAGAAAATTTGATTTTAAGTTATGGAGACGAACGATTTAACAGTCACAGTATTTCTCGGATTTTCCACGGAATTCAAAGTCCACGTTACCCCGCATTGCAATGGTATAAATGCAAGTACTGGAGAGCCTATATTCATGAAGATTTTGATGCCTTGAATAAATTGGCAGAAGATGTATTACGAAACTTTAAGATAAAATAGTGCCTTATAATAAAAAATAGCTGTATGAGATTAAAATTAATTTTTATTGTTTTTACCAAACAGTAATTTATACAATACAAGTGCTGTAAGTAACACTGTTTTGAAAAGATGGTTCAACTGAACTAAAAAGTGTTTTCTTTAATACAATTGTCTTGAGTTATTTCATATTGTGGTATTAACTTCATTTTTATGCTCTTTTTCCCAAGCCATTAATCGCGCTTCTCAAATGCACGAGCACAGAGAATATAAAATGTAGAATTTTAGTGACATCGAGGTTTTTCAATAATTTGGATTTTTGAACGTTTAGCGTCAATTTGAATGGAATTAAAAAAGCCAAAAAATCAAAAAATTACATTTTTTAACTTAAAAAAAGTTGATAGGCATTTCACTACTAAAACTCACATTAACTCAAAAGTATTAAAAATTGAATCGAAAGATTTTAAATAAAAACAAATTCGTCGGTAAATTGAGTAGAGTTGGTAAGTCGAAGCCGCTGGCGAGGCCTCAGCACTCTCAATCGAAACTTAATCGGAAAGTATGAAGCGGGTAAGTTATTCGAATTTACTTATATTCTTATAGGCAGAAACTACATTTTCCTTTATCTTTTTTTATATTATAGTTCTAGAAAAAATTTATTACCATCATATTATAAAAGTAATCTGAAAAAAGTTGAATCTTTGAAAATTAAAGAAACTTGAGCCACCAATCAAAAAGTCCATGATAATTTTCTAAAGAAAGTCTTGAATGGTCAGAGACTAGAATTATTGAGTGTTTATAGATTTAAAACGAGCATCAATATTTTAGTTAAAAAAGTTTGAAATTGAAAAGTGCAATTAGGTATTAATAATCTACAAACAATAAAAATTCATTTTTAGAATAATTTTTTTGTAAATGAAATTGAGACATTGTTGAAAAAAAGACATTTATTACGAAATTTCATCTTACATTATCTTTAAGACATAAAAAAATTTTAATGAAAGAATCTACTTTACAAAGATGGTTTTATATTTCGAATACAACCTTCATCTTTACAGATTTTTACATAAAGTGGTGGATTAAGATTATTGTCTGTAGAAATTTGAAAATAATAGCCATTCCTACTTGAAAACGTTTTAAAATTTTCCTCTTTCAATTGCGTTGGTTGATATTTGTTTACGTTGAAATTTGAAGCGTTGATAAAAAATGTTCTTATAGCTCATCATGCTCCTAAAAAAATTGTTGAAAAAAACATTAATTAAAAATTTTAATTGAATTTTATAGATTATACTACTATTTGAGGAAGTTCCGCAGTATTAGCAGTGGGCAATCTGTTATCTATTTAACGAACACATATGTAGTAATAAAGAAATTCTTGTTTAATGAGAAATTAGTTTCCCGATAAGCAAAAAATCTTGACCTTAAAAACTTTTCACTTTTACATTCATTACATACGCTTTAAACTATTAATATTATATAAGCTATCAGTTTTTATATTTAATTTTACGCGCGGGAATAACAGGTTTTAAGAAATGTAAAAAACTCAACCTGATAACCATAAGAAATCGTGTTAAATTTATGAATGATTTTTTATTATTTAAATCTCAGATAATAGGCTCTGAAATGTTTTGAAACTTTTACTGATTTTCATTGACGTAATAAAGAAACTTTTTTTAAAATTTTAATAAATTTTCTTCTCCAGTACTTTAACTGCGGAATCTCCTTGTATGTAGCAAAAAAATTATTTACTGGTTTCTCTTCATAAGATGTAATATTAAATATGTCTATCGAACCAATTCGTTACCTCACTTCCTGATTCATTATAAATTTTAATAAAGTCTTATAGGTACTTCTAAAAATTCGTACGTTTGATTTGGACACTGCTTAAAATAATTAAACAGCTGGATTTTCAAGTAGAAATCCATATTGAAAAAAGTAAATTTTTCCTACGTTAACGTGGACTTTTTAAAAAGTTTCAGTTTGATTTAATTATAGATTTTCAGGTAGAAAAAGCTAGATTTCTACGTGAAAAACTACGAATGTATTGAACTATCCATTTTTTGAAAAATCAACGGTTAAGTCCACATGAAAAGATACATTGCATCTATGTGAATCCACTTTATTCGATGTAGATTTGCATCCGGATTTTCACGTGGAAATACAGTTGTTCATTTGAAACAAAAATTAAGTTTCAAATAAAATTTAAAAGGGATAAGAAAGTTAACTAAAAAAAGTAAGAAAAGTAACTTCTGAACTAACTCCAAATGCGTTTTTTAAATATTATTCACTAAACTAACAAAGAGACCACATGCCTTCCAGAAATTGAAGTCTTCCAACTTATTTAAAGATTAACCACAAAATATATACTCTGCTTTTTTTTTAATTAACGGATAAGACCCGTTTTAAAGCAATATATTTTTTACGCGTTAAGTTACGATAAGTTACGAATCAGATAAGATTAAATTAGGTATATATATATATGGGTCAAAATAATACTTTTTTACAAAACCGTGCGCACGTATGTCACCGATCTTGACGCGCTTTTGGTATGTTATAGTACATGGTAAAAAGGTCCCAAAAAAAAATTTTTAGACCCCCTCCCCCCTCCTACCCCCCACTTCCGGTATAAACGTCCATTTTCGATCTATATTTTTTCTGAGGACATGAAGCAAGTAAAAAATCTGAAAAAATTCATAAAAATACTTTTCCACAATCCAAACAACCTTGAATTTTTTCAGATTTTTTGAGTGCTTCAGGCCTTCAGATAAAATCATTGAAAATTTCAAAAATCGAGATACGGCGGTATGAGCCGATGTAGTACTCGGAAATTTTTTCAGTTATTTTTCGCATTAAAAAACATAACCTCAATTTTTTTCAGATTTTTTCAGATTACCTAACGCACCTTTTGAAGCCAAAAACCGATTTTTTTGACGAAAATAATTTTTTTAGGACAGTACGGAGCCTCGAAAAATCTGAAAAAAATTTTTTCTTGTTTTTTTCATCAAAATACGTAATCTCAAATTTTTTCAGATTTTTTAATTGAAGGCGATAGCTTCTAGGGCCGAAAAATGCTATTTTTAACAAAAAATGGTTCCTAGAACCCGATGGTTCCGGTGAAAAAATTTGAAAATATTTTTTTTGAATTCCTTGTCAAATTTTAATAAATTTTGACCGTTTCAAAAGTTCGATTGAAGCTTCCTAGCTCATTTTAGAGCAGGACAAAGATTAGTGCAAAATATCTGAAGACGTTTCTGAAGACATTAAGGAATGATAAAACTCGTTTGATGCTCTAAAATGAGCTAGGAAGCTTCAATCGAACTTTTGAAACGGTCAAAATTTATTAAAATTTGACAAGGAATTCAAAAAAAATATTTTCAAATTTTTTCACCGGAACCATCGGGTTCTAGGAACCATTTTTTGTTAAAAATAGCATTTTTCGGCCCTAGAAGCTATCGCCTTCAATTAAAAAATCTGAAAAAATTTGAGATTACGTATTTTGATGAAAAAAACAAGAAAAAATTTTTTTCAGATTTTTCGAGGCTCCGTACTGTCCTAAAAAAATTATTTTCGTCAAAAAAATCGGTTTTTGGCTTCAAAAGGTGCGTTAGGTAATCTGAAAAAATCTGAAAAAAATTGAGGTTATGTTTTTTAATGCGAAAAATAACTGAAAAAATTTCCGAGTACTACATCGGCTCATACCGCCGTATCTCGATTTTTGAAATTTTCAATAATTTTTTCTGAAGGCCTGAAGCACTCAAAAAATCTGAAAAAATTCAAGGTTGTTTGGATTGTGGAAAAGTATTTTTATGAATTTTTTCAGATTTTTTACTTGCTTCATGTCCTCAGAAAAAATATAGATCGAAAATGGACGTTTATACCGGAAGTGGGGGGTAGGAGGGGGGAGGGGGTCTAAAAATTTTTTTTTGGGACCTTTTTACCATGTACTATAACATACCAAAAGCGCGTCAAGATCGGTGACATACGTGCGCACGGTTTTGTAAAAAAGTATTATTTTGACCCATATATATATACACGGCCTGATTCATAAAAGAAGAAAAATATTCTTAAGAAATTGAAGTTCCAACAGTAAAGTGGTCTCCTTGTTATTATTAACATTAAAACTAAAAATAATATAAATGATAAACGTACTTCTGTATCTGGTAAATTATTATTTAATAGATCATCTCCACCAATATCAGAATCATCCATTGAGTCATCAGATTTTGACGTGTCTTCATTTTCACCATCTTTTTTGGCCTCTAATTCTTGTTTTTCTTTCATTTTCTTTTCTCCTTCCTGTAAAAAAAATGTTTTATTCATTCTTTCGAAAGCTGGTGTTACATTCAATATGAATTAATTTTGGTAATTGAGTGGAACGAGGTTAACAGCTTAATCGTATATTGCTGCACTAGGCCGGGAAAAACAGAAAAGTCCCAGGGTACGTGAAATAAGCGGCCGAAGCGAAGCCGAGAGAATAGAAAGTTTTAAGACAACAGTAAATGCCGCAACATTTTTTCGGTCTTCGAACGCGAATCCTTTTGAATTATTATATTGAATTCTTACTATACTACCATTAGTACTTCTCAAAGAATATTAGAATTTAAAAAGTTGGCATTCGATAGCCGAAAAAATTTCGAGTTATCAACTGTTGTCAGATAAAAAAAACGTAGTTAAAAAATCAATTTGAAGATAGTTTTGAGTAACTCTTTGCGTGATTAAAATCTTCAGTCATCTTAAATAGAAAATAGGTTATTATAAGTACCTATGAATTTGGTACTATTCAATACAAAGTCTATGTAACTTTAGAGAATTAGTAAGCTCATAATTATGAGAGTTTTATCTTGTTATCTTGCTATTATTCGAAAACTTCCATTTCAATGCATTCAATTTTTTAATTAAGTTTACTACAAGTACTCAGCCGTTTTTCGAAGTACGTAATAATATGAGCAAAAATTTCTTGCTCCCACTCAGTGAAAAAAATCTTTAATATTAATTTTCAGGCTTTTAAGAGAAAAAATAAGAGAAAAAATATTTTTAAGTATAATTTTTCAGTAAATCGCTTTCCTACAAAACTAATAACTAGTAGAAAATTAGCGATTTTAGCATACTACTAATAATGTCCTAAAAACCTAATCGTGCTGTAAGACAGAGAATTTTCGATAATTTTACTGACTTTTCTATAAATGATTTCAATCAAATCTGATAAACTAAAGAAAAACTTAAAAGATAACCCATCGTGCAATAATTGCTACTATAAATTGTAGTCATATTGTATCCAATTTCATTTCTTCAAACTTACAATTGTAGATTCCAAAATGGTTTTTCCGACTTGTTTTGCATAATCGACGTCATCGGTAATGAGTATATTGTCGAATATACTTCCAGATTTGACCTGCCATAAATCGAAACCTACAGCGCAAATTTCTTTTTTTAGGTACAAATTCTGATCTGGAGAATATTCCGGGTTGTCAATTTCTGGATGAACCCATGGCCCTTTGTAGTTAGGATTGCTTATTTGTTTAGGTTTCCATTCACCCTAAAAAAAAATTTCTTTCTGAATAAAAATATTGACTTTATTTAAATAAATACATTTAAGAAAAAATCGTAATTCTGCATAATAATAAAATAATCAGTACAAATATTTATAAAAACGTATAGAAAATGAAAAAAATTAAGAGTATATCAAAGAATCATCAATTTTTTTAAATTCATATGAATTTGAAATTTGATTAAGTTTTCTGTTGAGCTTCCGAAAAAATTGCAGGTCAGTTACAATGAATAAAAATTAGACGAGTCTTGTAAATTTTCTTTTTTTCGGACACCGTTAAATTGCGCATTTGTCGCATAGAGTTTTGAACGGCAGTTTTTTAATTTGAATTCGCCTTAAATACTTTTTAATTTACTCAAGGTAAATTGATTTTAATGATTTAATTTAATGCATCTATTTGTAGAGAAAAGGCCCTTCATGATATTGTTAGAATTTATCGGTTACCGAAACAAAAAATTTAAAAAATCATGAAAAGAATTTTTTATCCTTTTTTACCGAAAGAGAAAATCCATTTGTATTGCTAAGTTCCATTAAGATGGATCGGCAACTTGCTCTTTTGATTAGTGTTTGAATTAATAAGAGTTAACATAAATGCTCAAATTATAGATTTTAAAACTACAATTGCATAATTACGATATTTTATTCATTTTTAATTTTTTTAATTTTTTTTTTTTTTAATTTTTTCAGACCATCAAGGGTAATTTAAAAAAATTTTGATTAAAAAAATAATAATCAATTTAAAAATTACCTTAAATTCTGGATTGTCAATCATAGGAGCTTCCCATTCACCATCCATTTCATCATCCCAATCTTCCGGTTTTGCAGCTTCAGGATCGTGAATATGTTCAGGTTTATCCCAGTCAGCTGGTTTTTTATCTTCAGGATCTGGAATAGTAGCTTCATCTTCCCAGTCAGTTGGCTTGGAAACTGATGGATCCTTTATTTTTTTAGGAGGCAAGAAATCCCAATCTTCTTCTAATTTTCCAGATTCGACCTTCTCATTGTCGATAAGAACCTAACACAAATGTGATATTTATTATTAAGAAAGTATACAATTTCATTGTACGATGAGTTGTTCAGTATCCCAGTTTTGCAACAAAGTTTTATTTTCAATATAAAACATTTTGATGATAAATTTAGTTCCTGAATAGTAATCAAGTTAAATTACTTTAAAAGAATTAAAGATAATTCATATGCGATAAACGTGAAGTATTAGTAAAATTTTTGTGGACAAAATGCTTCCAATTATTTTAATTAATTCGAACAAAAAGAAATCTCGATTTTTTTGCAAATAGGTTAACTAGCATAAAAATCTACAGTTCATTTCGATTCAAGATTAATTAAAAGTTGACATTTTTCTAAGAAGCGTGAATATGAATCCTCTCATTATTAACATTATTCGAAAAATAAGTATTATTAATGAAAAAAAATGTACAAAATCAAGGCGTATTTCTCACGCAAAACATTTGTAAAATTTGCACTGTAATATCTGAAAATACTAGACTATTTTTGTTTTTCAATTATTAACAAAGATATGAAATTTAAAAATAAGCGTGAAGTAACAATCATGGTACTACTTATATTTTACTATAATTGTGTTTTCATGGTCTTTGTTTTTAACGCCATGCATCTGTTAATAATTGATTCAATCAAAAGAAAAAAGTATCTAATGATTTTCAAAAATGTATAATGCTGACTCATAAAAAAATACGCATTATAATATATATTAGAAGAATGTCTCGCTACGGGTTATATACGGACATACACACGATTTTCAATAAATTGAGCATTAAACATTATGGAAACTATTAGCATGGAGATCATTTTCTTCACTATATTTTTAGGGTTTTTTTTCAACAATAATGATATTAAACTCACCTCGTACGTGTTATCAGGCGTGATAATCAAAGTGTAAAGATGGGTAAAGACATCATCTTTGCAACGAATGTTCTTATTTACCATCAAGTTTTTACCCTTGTAGTTCAAAATAACATGTACTTTTTTAGTTCCAGGTCCGCAAATATCCGGTCCTATAAGACAATAAAATAGTGTAAGATACTGTGGTTTGGAAAGATTAATGTATCTTTTTTTAACAGTTAGGTATTCATTGCTTTAGCCTATCATTACATTTTCTGTAGAAGATTTAACGATTTAATCGATATGATACTAGCGAATCTGTAAAATTCATTCAACTAACAAGGACCTACTTGAACATTCAAATTGCTATCGAATTGAATAGCCCAATATTTATATTTTATGATTTTATTATCTATGACATTATTTTAAATCGATATTATTGAGACATTTTTTCTTTTAGAATAAAAAAAATTTGTTTTATAATATGGTGACTAGAGATTTTTTTTCAAAGATCGTTATATTTAATCATATCAAATATCGAAGGTGCATGAGAATTTCGGATTTGGGAGCTCTTTAAGAATAATTTTAAATAAACTTACCAAACATCATTAGGTAGGGTGTTTCGCCATGCAAATCTTTCGGATTCAAAGAGCAATCAAATACTTTAATGTAACCACCACCACAATCGATATTCTGTTCATGTTTTACAGAATATTGGATAACAAGTGGTTTATTTTCATTACTGAATGAATCAAATTTTCTACTAATAGCGTAGAACTTGGCATCTTGAGATGTTTGTAAGCCTGAAATAAAAGTATATTAAATAACTTGGAGCATATTCACACCAATTTTATTAAATGTTTTATTGCTTATAAAGCAATACAATTTTAATATAAAGGAATGAAAAATGTTTAAAAAAATGTTGGAATACATAAAAATAAATTTCTTTCCATCCAAAAAATACGTTACCTTTATCTAGTGACTCGTCATTCCAGAATTTACCATGGCTTAAAACGAATTTTCCATACTCTTGACCTTCATGTTCTGACTGAACCCAATTCTCTTTCCAAGAATCTGTAACAAATTTCAAATAAATTATTCACAAACAATGTAATAATATGTTTTATAATAAAAAAACGGGCTTTATATAATTTAATACCATTTATATTATAGAAATAAAGGTAATGCATAAAAATAAACATAGTAATTTTTTGCGGTGGCAAAAACAATTTTAGACGGTCATTTTGCCCTAATGACATCACAATGTCAGATCCAAAAAACAGAAGGTAAGTAGCAATTTCAGCTGACCCTATTGGCAATATGATTGTGGTATAGTTCTACACGACACTTTTATATTTTTCCAATCATTTGCACGTTCGACGAACAATCGACTCCTTGCTTAATTATGTTCAAAAGTACATCAAAATAAAAAATAAGCTAAATTTTCTTTAGTGTTTTAATTTCAGTACTCATTTCGAAAATTGGACAATTTTCTGACGCGCAGTCGTGAGATTTTGCAGTTCATCAAGATTTTTTGTGCAAACGAGAGATATCCATAAGAATGGTGAAAATGGACCTTTTAAAAATTTGGGGGCTAACTTTACCGACCTGTAAATATAGGAACTTCTCGCGTCCGACTGCGTCCCCCTCTAAGACCCCTGAACCCCCTTTACCTCTAGAGGGCCGAGATTTCAGAGGTCGCATCATCCATAGAAAACTGACATAAAATGTATCAAATCATTGATCGATCATGGGTAAAGTGTCCATTAGGGGGTGTGCCAATATATTGGATTTCCGGTCTTCTAAAGTTTAAGTATATTTAAGCTATTCACGTATGAAAGGCTCATATGAGATTGAAAATCGACTAAGCTAATCGCGTTATCGATTTCTAATATTTTCTCTGTATCTCGTTTAAAGAAATATTGAAAATACAAATTATTCCCTGAAGAAAATATTATAATTTAATGCCTCACAGCAGCTCAAAAAAAAGCTGTTATAAAACCTTTTTAATGAGGGCAAATTGACTTTTAAAACAAAACAATTTAAGGAAATGTCATTAAAAACAGAAGTTATTAAAACTTGAAGGCTTATATATACCTTAAACTCAAAATTTTTTTAATTCAAGTTTTGAGTATGATTTTTCCTAATTTTTTTATTGCAATTTTCGAAACTCCAAAATTTTAATTTTGCTCTGAGATAGAGCTGTTTCCGTGAGCCTTTTTCGTATACTTTACGTGTTAAAATTTTTCTTTTTTTGCGTTTTCTGACGAGTATTGTTTTTGATCATCTGTCGTAATTTTCTGAGAATACCTTTGGATCTTTAGCACCAGGTCCCGTACACTTGTTCAGAACATCAATGCTTACGGCCACTACTACGGGTGAGACGATCGAATATGCAAATTGCTCTGCATAAAACAGTTAAGCACACATTTTTTTTCATTTTTCATTTTTGCCGAAATTTAAGTCATAAAAGTACGTTTTGAGAATGATCTATGAGCTCAATTGTCTCACCCGTAGTAGTGGCCGTAAGCATTGATGTTCTGAAGAAGTGTACGCGACCTTGGTGCTAAAACTCAACCAGTATCCTCTAAAAATTACGACAGGTGGCCAAAAACACTACTCGCCAGAAAACACAAAGGAAGAAAAATGATAACACATAAAGTATACAAAAAAGGCATTGAATAGGGGAGAAAAAATCCTATTCAAAAATTCAATAAAAAACGTTTGAGTTTAAGATGTATATAAGCCCTTAATTAAACGGATTTATAAAAATTTTGATGCTTGATCAATAGAAATTTGAATAAAAAAGTTAAAAAATTAAGTTAAAATATTAATTTGATATTAGAAATATGGAAATCAATTGGTCTAATATTATAAGAGACAAGACTGATCCAACGAGCTTTTTATGTTCTAATGTAATTTCAAAATTTACAAAAGTTATACCAATTAATGACTTATAAGGCATTTACAACATATAGCTTTGAAAATGCATTTAAAAAAATATCTTTTTATAAGCATGATTGTTATTTGTTTGACAACAGTTCTTGCTTTGTAATGTATATTATGCTTACTCTTAATAATAAAAAAAATGTTAAATCATACTGAAATATATTTATTTCATATTCATAAAACCAATAAAAGTACTCTAATCCAAAAAATGATTATTTCATTGAGCTTATCCTGGTTATTTTGTAACTTCAAGACTCTAGCCAACAGTCAATTAAAAGTTTGGTAAAGTGTCTGCACAAAACTACTCATTACTTTTTTAATAGCAAAAAAAGTTAAGTAAAAGTACACATGGCTATAATATTTTTCAAAATTTTTGTTTAGTGTAATATCTCCAACTGAACTAATATTTCCTCCAATAACAATTTTACAATTTTAAGTGTATTTTCATAGTTATGTTTAGAAAAGTCTGTGAAATTTGAACAAGTTCTTTTTGCTATATTTGCAAATTTATAACATTTTTTGTAATGAACACTAATTTGTTCATCAATTTATAAAAATGAAACTGTTTTTGAAAACCAATTATAATAGTATATAAAAACAAACAAAAAACATGTTCATAAACTGTCGCAATCATGATTATAAAGATTCAAAAATTTAACTTTTAATATTTATATGAAAAAAAAAATACAAGAGAATGACAAAGTGGTAAAAGTTGTCAAGACCTTGAAACATATCTAAATATTAAATTATTGTCAATTCAAATAATTAAAATTTAAATGGAATAGAGAATTGGGGCATTTCAAAAGCACATCAAGTAGTTAGAAAAATTCCTATAAATTGTTTAAATTTTAAAATACAAACCATTTGCAAAAAATAAAATTGATTAGCTTTACACTTTAAAAAATTTTTAAACAAAATATAATAATAAAATTGCATTCATGAATAGAAAAACAAATTTAAATCATATGTCAAAAGGTATCCACTTTTAAGTTGAACTAAAACTAAACCTTTTTAAAAATTTTAAAATTCTATTGTTGACATAAAATTAGAAAAGTGAACAATGTTTAACAATATATTTAAATTAATGTTTTCATTTATCTACAAAATTTCATTGTTTTATTTCACTAATACAGGAGGTATGTAAAATTCAATATTTAAATAATTTAAGCATTAAAATGCCAAAACTGAAATAATTGAAGGATTTTCAAATATTATCAAGATTTATATTTAAATATTTAACAAAAGGTTTTAAAATATGTGTAATTAAAAAAAATCATATTTTGAAGACAACATCATATACTGCATTGGAAAGGATCAAGTATTGATTTTTGGTTTTACTAAACTTACTTTGTTTTTTTTTCTATTCAACTTATAAAAAAATTTTTAAATAATCAATAACTTTGATGTTTTATTTCATTTAGTCATAGTATATATTTGTAAAACCATACCTAAGAGTTAGAATATTTTTTTATCATTGATACTAACTTTTCATGTAAGAATATATTTTTTAGAAAAAAAAGGAAAGTTTTCTTATAGATCAACTAACAAAATTAATACCTCTAAGTGAAGCAATAAACAATTGTTATATTTTTTTTATTCAATCACATTTAAGATAAGTGATTATTTTCTAAAAATGATGTAAAAAAATTTTGATTATTTTTGAACTTAAAAACTCCCATAGACTTAATATGTTCAAAACATATGTCCAATTATAAGATAGTAAAATCAAATTTATTTCTAACCAAATAAGTGAGTTTCAAAATAGATATTGTTTTAAGCATGGCAAAAAAGGGTTTAGGCATTATAGGGTTGAAAATAAGTTAATATTTCATTGAAAAATTGAACAATTTATGTTATAAATTGATTTGATCATGAAAAATTTCGGCGAAGTAAAATACCTAAAAATTATTAATAGAGCATATTCGATTGTTTCCACCCAAAGTCAATAATATTTTACGAAAAAATTGTTTGCCACTCTACTAAAATTATGAATAAAGCCAGCAACGAATTCTATGTTATATACCACGTAATCAAGTTGAATATATCAGAAAAATTTCTCTTTTAACTTTTTCTTACCGTCAGTAAATTTTTCTTCAATAAAAATTTCTGCTAATGCCTGATTTGTCAGAGCGAAAATTGTAAAAAAGTAAAATAAATACATTTTTAAATGTATAAAATTTACTTTATAAAATTTTGATCGATTTATTTTCTACAAGCAATATTTATTTGAAACCGAAAATGAAAAGATTTTACTCTTCAATGTTACTATGGTGTTATCATAGCTCTTTATATACGTCGACTGAGCAACCATAGTTTGAGCCAGATGGAAGTCCGTGATTGGCTGTCATCTCGACGCCCGGAACGAATAATATATGAACACGCTACTAAATTACTATTAGGTCTTAAACGTGATATCAAACTAGCGAAATATTCTGTTCTTTAAATTTTGAGATGGTATTTTCGATTCTTGCAAAGCATAAAAATATTCAATTGTAATTCTAGTATTAGTCATAGAATTTATAGATCTTTTTCTCTATTATATTTGTATGTCTAAAAGATTTTAGAAACAATCTTTAATCTTGGTTTTTTTTTTATTACCTTCAGTGACATTCTATTGATTTTTCAGGACATGCTCAGAATACAAAATTCATCATTTTTAAGGTGCTTACAGTAAGAAAAAAAATTCGTATTTTGACCTAAATTTTATTTTAAATAAGGATTTTACTCGAGTCACTAGCGTTCTAGAAATAACCTTGAAAAAAAACCAAAAGACGAAATTTTCTGCTCTTTTCAAATCCTCAATAAAAAGTAGGGGTCCCCATTTGTAAAATCGATTTTTGTTTCGCTATAGATAAGAGGTTATGTTTAAGGTAAAATCTAACTTCACCATTGGATTTTTCCTGAGTGAAAATACCTTGGATCTAGGGTTTTTGATTTTTTTAAACAAAATTACAATTATAAAGAACGATAAAATTCAAAAAAATTGTATATTACGTTACGAGACAAAGAAGTGAGCTATAGTGCCATTGTGTGCCGAGGTGTAGTCAAAGCACCTGAGAGATCTTCTACCTCTCGGAAAATCATGTATAGAAAAGTGACGCTAGTAGTGAATATACGACTTTTACATTGAATTTATATCGCAAATGGGCACTGATGTATGCAGCACTCTCGAGGATTCAACAGTCTGATGGAGTTAATTAATTGGGTATAGACAACCGAGGTTTTCGTCGATGTGAAGGATTTCTGGTACTTCTCTGTTTAAAAAAGATCGCTGGATTTCGAGTTGGAAAGTCGAGCAGGATTTGACTGAAATCAAGCATGATTTTTTATCTGAAATCTAGCTGAATTATTGAAAATCGAGCGAGATTTCAGATCATAAATAGAGTTAGATTTCAAGTTAAAAATCGAGCTAGATTTCAGATCGAAAATCGAGCTGGATTTTCAGTCAAATCCTACTCGATTTTCCAACTGGAAATCCAGCGATTTCTTTTAACAGCGATTTTCTAACAAAAGTAATTACCACAAAAGCGCGGAACAAATACCAAAGCTGAAAAATGTTCGATAATTGCTTGCATATAGACTGGGCCGCGACGTTCTGTGGGATTCGATCGTACAAATTGAGATTGATTGATTGATAAGTTTTTATTCAAGTTCATCTCACAGAGATAGTGAACTAACACAATTATAATAACAGATACTGTGCATAGTTTTACAAGAATTATTCACAGATAAAAAACGGTAAAATAGACAAGACAAAATCGCCACACAAAAGTAGCGGAGATTAAATGTAGGTTCAAGTTCCGAAATTAAATTTAAATCTAAATTGCAAGACGAACGTACGAACGATATTTTGATTTTATTCCAATTTCTAATTTTGGGCGTTACAAATAGTGAAGGAGAATTTAAAATAAACAGAGTCAACTCTATTGGTTTCCAAAAATACAAACAAAAGACCCTGATAGCACGGAAAGTTGCAGCAACGTTGCGGCAACCATATTTTTGAAACATTGAAACTTTAACATACTCGTGTCATGAACGTTGCGGCAACGTTGAAGCAACGCAGTTTATGTCCCATATGGTAACGAAGTAACGTTGCTGGAGCGTCGTCGTTCAGCGTCCGCGAGATTTCGGCAACGTTGCGGCAACTTTCAATGATTTTTTGTATTTAACGTGAGTCCGCGAAAGCAATGTTCCGTCAACGTTCCCGCAACTTCACGAGAGCCTACAGCTTAGATTACAGGTTCGTGAAAGCAATGTTCCGGCAATGTTCCGGCAACATTCCTGCAACTTTACGAGAGCTTATTTGCATTGAATTCGCTAACTTGCAGAGTTTTGAAAAATAGACAGTATCGGTTTTTCACAACTAATGAACAAGGGTATATACTCGCACTAAATTTTTTTCACGATGCATATTTATTTTTATAAAAAAATAATACATAAAATAGATAGTTCTGGAAAATGGACAGTATTGGTTTTCAACCTTTCATGAACAACGGTATCCTATACTCGCACTAAATTTTGTTACAATGCACATTCATTTTTATAAAAAAATAATACATAAAATAGACAGTTATGAAAAATAAGCAGTATTGGTTTTCAACCTTTCATGAACAA